CTGGTGCAGCTGTGTGGGCATCAGAAAGATCTCGCTGGAGGACAGGCCTATTGTGCCAGTCTGATTGATCCTCTATGGCACTGAGCTTACGGAGAGACCCTGACTTTAACAGGGACAGGGCCTGTTGACAAACAAGCAGGCCTCTGTCTGAGGCAGGAGAATGAGGCTGCAGGTGCTTGGGCCATGCTTGGATTGAGCCGCGAATGCCTGCTCAGATGCCAGCGGAGGCATTTCCTGCCTAGTCTGACATAGGAAGGCATCCTGGCAACGGCCAAACACCGAGCAGGAATGAATAAAAGGCAAAGACCGGTATCGAAGTGCACATAAATGCCAATCAGACCCACAAAAATATAGACAGAGGCACGCTTAAAAACACATCCACACAGTGGTTCTGCTGTAGAAGAGCACAGTGATACTCAGACATTCAGAAACATAGACAAACAGATACATTATATAAGATTATTGCAATTTTAACAGTAAAAGACTGTAAACGTGCTATGTTAATCAGTTTACAAAACATTCCCTCCTCATTATTTCTTTCTTAGTTTTTTTCTTATCAGTTATGTATATTATGGTCTTATGTTACATCTTATGTTGTTAAATGAATGTTTAATGTATTAGTTAGTGTCGTGTGTATGGAAGCTTGTTTCAGCCACAGAATAATAAAAAATAAAAAAGGTAAGTGTGACTTTTTCTCGCAATTATGAGTGTATATCTCACAATTATATTTGAACACGGTATAAACTCAGTAAAATCAGAATTTAAATCTCGCAATTTTGAGTTTTTATGTTGCAATTCTCACAATTTTTCTCAGAATTGCGAGAAACAAAGTCTGAATTGTGAGATCATTTCAAAATTGTGAGAAAATAGAAAAATAGAAAGTAGAATTATGAGATAAAAAGTCACACTTACCTTTTTATGTTTTATTTGGTGGTGAAAAGCAGGCTTCCATATTGTGTGTTACCATTTTAGTATTTGTGGAAAAAGATACTTGTGGTAATCTTTGATTCATCATGGCTTTCTCTTTACCACTTGTGTTTTTAAGGTGATTGTCAGGTAAAAAACAGGTTTTAGAAATTTGGTATAACTTATTTCTTAAAAAAAAAACAACAACTATGAATTAAGTTCAATCTGTAAAACTTAAAATGTTGCAACCTTATTGTTTAAGGTACATGTCTGACAACCATTTTTTATTTATTTTATTTTTAACAACGTACAAACACAAATTTAAATCCTCGATGCATCTCATTTTGTAGTATCCCACAGTGTTGAGAATTCCACTGTAGCTAGAAAGAAATTATTTAATGTGAGCTGGTACAGAGCAGCAGGCAAAGACAGTGTGACACAATGACCCGGTGCCAGAGAGTGTAAATCTGGCACAGTGTCTGCCATCACACCACACTATGATTAACAACAGACGGCAGAGCAACAGACAGCCTGATCCGCTCCTTTTCTCCTCTATGCTAGCATTCATATCTGCTATTTTCATGGAAGAGGTGCTTCTAAATTTCACAGCCACAATAAACTGTTTCAAGCATCTACAATGCCTACAAACCCAAATGTAGCCAAGGTGAACACAGCTTTTATAGCCTCAATAATTGTTTCAAGCACCCATGATGATGTGTCCAATCCCAAATATCCTTAAGTAGAAATATAGACATGCAGCATTTAAAATCAACTAAAACGGTTTGAAGGAAATTAGAGGAAGTGCACACAAGATGCCTTAGTTTCTGCTGTACAGGATACAAAGCAGCCCAGCTCCAAATTTGGCAACGTGGCATAAAAAGGAAGTCAGATAAGTCAGTGGCCAGCACGTCTGTGGGGATTATTTTTAGTTGTACTATTTAGTAGAGGATCGAAGAAAAAGTTTTCTCCCCTGCCCTTGCCTGCACACTGTTCCCGAGTTTCACACGGCACTGTTTGCACTGGGAATCTTCTTCCAGTTGACATGGCCCAGCCCGGCGAGCTGCCCTTCCTCGCACCCTCGGTGCACTGTAAACATCCCAGGGTCAGCACCTTACCAAGCGCTTGCCTGTGCACACGCCTAACTTCCTGTTTACTCTAAATGCTACAAGCCCCACTGGACACCAATAGCCTTATTATTGTCTATGATCTGGAAAGTGGGATGTTGTCTCATACAGTGGATCATGCATGCTTAAATATGTACGTACATGCACAAATTTTATATATTTTATAAACTGCAAATATGAGACAGTGGTAAAGAGAAAAGATAAATATTTGGCAGGAAAATGTGAGCATACGTTTCATGGTTTGAACACATGGCTCAGCCCTGGCAAGGGAGATAATGGAAAACCCAACAGGGGGTCAAAGTACAGAGTAACTCATTGTAAGCTATGGCTTTACATTATTTCATGTTATTTTAATGTTTTAACGCTTAATGTTCTTTTTAATACTTTATTTAGCCTACTTTACCCTCGGGAAATCTCTTTTTAATCAAAGGCATACATATATGAGTAAACATTGCTCTGACAAGGAGCTGAGAAAGAATGGAGGGATTGTTCTTCGATGGGGTGGAGTGTTTGTGTGTGTGCTGGGGAACAACCTCCTCGGCTCCTTATATTTCTCATTCATCGCTCACATCACATGGATGACTGGCACTAACTGAAAACACACACAGTCTAGGTTCTGTGACCAGCAGTTCAGGTTCAGAGAGCTGCCTTACACAGTAAGAAAAAGACAAAAGCAGCTGTAAGTGATATATCTGTCAAAAACAAGTTTTGCCAATTAATTTAATGTGAGAAAACTTTTATTTTTGTTAGATATACAATACTGATAGTTTGTATTAAAGGGGTCATATGATGCGATTTCAGTTTTTCCTTTCTCTTTGGAGTGTTACAAGCTCTTGGTGCATAAAGAAGATCTGTAAAGTTGCAAAGACTAAAGCCTCAAATCCAAAGAGAGATTCTTTATAAAAGTTAAGAGTCAACCACGCCTACCTAAAATGGCTCGTTCTAACATGCCCCCACATGTCTACGTCACGATGTGGGAAGATTTGCATAATGCCGCCCAAATGTTCACGCAAAGAAAGAAGGCGTAACTTTTATTCTCGCTGTAGTATTGCTGCTGCTGCCGCCATGTCGTGAAGGCGCTGTGTTTCGTTGTAAAAGCGAAACTACTTTGGTTGGCCTTCCAAAAGAGAACGATATCTGCTTCGTCATGCCTGGAGCTGATCCGTGCTGGTCGCTGAGGAAATACATCAACTTTGCGCTGTGGGTCGCCGAATCGGCTTCCCCCGTGGACGAAGCGGAGTCCAGCCCGGGGTCGTCACATGTGGTTGCCGCAAGCCCGCCGGCCGCGCCGTTCTCAAGCCCGCCCGCCCACCTCTGCTCACTCCGCATACTCGAGGCCGCCGCTCACTCTAGCCCTCCGGCCTCCGCTCACTCAAGGCCACGTGTGTGACGCGGTTTCGTTGTGAAAGCGAAACTACTTTGGTTGGCCTTCCAAAAGAGGACACGACTAGAATTTTTTATAGTCAACGCATTTTATAGAGGACTGTTTCCTGATCCTGGTAGAGTAGACTACAATGCCGGCTGTTCTGACTCACAGACTGTAAATACGTTTATAATATTTAAAGAATTTGCCACTGACGATTCAAACTCGAGTTTTTTGAGCAGTGTAGAGAAGCACTTGTTGTTTGTCATTTAAAATATGCTATTTAAAATATTTTTTCTGAAATTAAAACTAGCAGTGTCCTGAACTAAATACCTAAAGCACACACACTCACACATGTCCGGTTCACTATCCTTGTGGGGACCATAGGCGTAATGGTTTTTATACTGTACAAACTGTATTTTCTATCGCCCTACACCAACCCTAAACCTACCCCTCACTTAAAACTTTCTGCATCTCAAAAAACTCATTCTGCATGATTTATAAGCTTTTGTACCCATGGGAACCTCAATTTAGGTCCCCACAGTGACACAAGTCCCCATGATTTGCTGTGTATTCCGGTTTAAGTCCCCACCAGTGTAGAAAAACCTGTGCACACACACACACACAATAGGCTATACCAGCCTATTTAATACAGACAAACCATAATAATATAAGTGTAGCCTACCACTCGTTCTAGTAGTTTGTTTGATTGCAGTGACCGCTAATATTCTGTTTGTACAGTTTTGTATTAGTAATACTAACTTTTGATATTGTATTTCGCATGGTACATACACGCTGTCACGGTTTCAAAATGTCCGCGAACGGCGCATGAAATGACCAAACATTAATAGAGTACTGTAAATAACTTAAGTTCCACAACGCTGTTTAATGCACTAAAGAATGTCATTGTTTTGCACAGGTTATTCTGGTTTATAATGGAAAGTAAATGTCGCTGTTTGCGCATTTTGCTGCCAGTGTACACTTATTTATACTCGAGATTGCAACCATCCACTGCTGTTCCGCGCCCAGCCGCCACCACGTGATGTTTTCGCAAGCTGTATCTGTTGTTAATAGAGCAAACGCTGAAAACAACCATAAAAACATTCTTGCTGGGGCAAGTTTTTATGAATGGCATTTTTCCTTCCTCGACTTTCCCCTTTTTTACTGAATGAAAAACAACTGGAAACGTACTGGGGAAAGCCCTTGGGACTCTCAAGCCGCGATTGGCTAAAAGAACGCAAGCACCGCCTTCGGTTGTTAAACCTTGAATCTGATTGGTTGGAATGCGCAAGAGAGGCTTCATTCATAAGGAAGGACAAAGAAAAGTAATTTGAGCTCTTGAAAGAGAAAATCCACCAATCAAAATCCTTCCTACAAAGCGAAAAACGACAGCAAGAAAAGCAAGTTAAAGTCAGCATTATGATTTAAGAAGAGCGAATATATTTTTTCTTTAATCAACGTATTGTGGCCACACATCCACTGTATACGACATACACTGTATATCCCACTGAAATTTGGGTTATAAAATTAAAATCTTAAGTTTTATTGCTGCCTGAAATTTTATAATTGCAACCTACAGTGATCCTGCAAGGAAAATAGAGTTAGAAATGGCAAATTATTATGGTAAGCTAAATTAATAATAATAATAATAAAAAAAAAACGTTTTTATACTGTATAACATCACTGAAACTTAATATAAATGTATAAAACAATATCTCTTAAATTTTTCGTCGTTTCGATGATGAAGAATATGACTCTTTCACTATACTAGCATAATTAAGCATGTTTAAAAATGTCATTATGTTTTATCTACACTGTATATTGTCAGGACGGTGTCTTTAAAAAGGCAGATTTTACAAGTGAATAAGCTAATTTATCAAAATGTCAGACCAATTTTTCTGTTAAACAGATGATGTACATATCAAAAAAGGAAATAAATATTTGAAGCTGGTATGGAAGAATAGATCAGGGTGATAATGATTTCTGTTTCATTTCAGATCTCTTTCAGGATTTAAGCCAACTTCAGGAGACATGGCTCACCGAAGGTATGCGCCTATTCTAAGCATGTATTGTCTATATTGCAATAAATATGTCCCTCTAGTGGCAGTGAGCAAGGAAATGTCACAGGAGGACATGCTATAGCAAGTTCACGCTGCTTGGTGAGATTTACAAAACAAAAGCAATAGAAAGGTTTAGAATCAGGTGGCTTATCTGCTTAATAAGGCAAGACAGCTGTTAGAAATAATTAATGTTTTCATTTGAGAAATTTAGGAGGAAAAGGTTTTTAATAAGTGTGATAGTTCAATACAGTATTTAATGCCTGAATTTAAGATTTACTGGACATCAGGACAATCACTGTGTCAATGTATAGCTGTAAATGTGTTGCTTTTTTAAAGTTTACAAAAATGCCTTGATTGCACAATGCTGCTGGCTACATTTTATTTGGAAAGTCCTGACAAAGGCTCAGCCTATACACTCAGGCAAAGCAAACAAACAGCATCAAAGCTGGACAGTCAGGAGGCAAATAGTTGAAATGAACCCTGCCAGAAACAATTTACTGTGTACATGTCAGAGTGTGGAGAACACAAAGGCTGCTCTCAATGAGACCGGGTGGCTGGAACCCCGTTGTTCTGAATGAATTATACATCTGTCCGATAGCAAACCCTTATGTGTATTTTAAGATAATAATTAAGGTGATATAAATGCAATTTTAAAAATGAAATGATAAACAATGATTTTGTCCACGTTGAGCTTATATTGGAAAGAATGTTAATGCATCGTTTTATCTTATGTTTTATCAGAAATTAAAACATCCTGGTTGTAATTGCATACAGTTAAGATGACATATGGCAAATACGAGATGCATTATCTTCAGATAACACCTAAGGGTCTTAAATTCAAGGAATGAATTAGGGAAATAACACAATATTATAAACAGAAAAAAAGCATTACTTGAAGGATTTTTTAAATATTAATTTTAATATTTCATTTATTTAAATTAAATATACTTTTTTATTTAAACATTAAGACATTTACAGGAATCCCTCAATGTTGTTAATTGAATATTTTAAGGATTTCAAAATGCATGGTCAAAACAAAATAAGAGTTCTCAATAAATTGCATCATCCTCAGAGCAGAACTATCAGCTATTATTATGCAGTGTCAAACTGTGAACTTCACACATCAGTCAGGAGACAGGGACATTTTTCAATGACCAGAAACCAGGAACAACAGAGAAGAACACTGAAGTTTAACAGGTGGAGTAGAAAGACACTTTAGCTATGAAGTTTGAACAGTGATTATAGTGTTTTGAGAGCACTTTAATTGCTCACACACACTTGCTCTTTAAAAGCAGCCTCATTTTTCCTGGCTGTGAACTTTTCTTTCTTCTATTCGGAGGAAATTGCTTATAATCAGGTGGTTATGATGAGTAATTCACTATATTGTTAAAACAGACACTGCTGCAGGGATTTTGCACTTTAAAGGCTAAGATAAAACATAGAAGGGGGCCACAAGTTGTTAATAGAAAAGCTTGTCCAATCATGTGAGTATTCTTTACATTTTAAGACAGACCTCCTGGCTCCTCCTAGGACCTGCTGAACTAAAAAATAAGTCAGTCATTCAGATTCCCTCAAAGAAAAAGGAAACATGTCTCCATGCTTGCACAGACAAACTTTAGTCTTGTGCTGACTTGCATTTCAAAGCCCTTGACAGGATGTTTCTGGAAGCTCACTGACTTGAAACAAACGCACACACACACACACAGACTCCCACAGACATTCACAGACACACTGTCTGATGTGACCATGTATGTGTTTGCTTACACACAGACGAACTAGACTGCGAGAGATCGGGTTGGTTTCAGTCAGCCCTGGAAACTCTAAAAAGCTTGAGGGACTCACAGTAAACTGTTTTTTTTCTATCTGCCTAAAAATTGCATGTGCTCCTTTTGAAGCACATGCAATTTTGAAAAGTTGAAGCACATCTGATGGTGGGCCAAATATTGGCTTCAGCTTTGACTCATAAAAACAGCCTTACTAATCCTCCTCAGGGCAGAAAAAAAAAACTTAAATGACTCTAATATAATTACAGTATAGCAACAGGATAAGAGCAGCATCTATGAAATTAATGTAATTTCTTTGAGCATGCTCAAAGGGGCATCAGTACGGTTTCCGTTACACAGGAAGTGCCAGATTAATGTTAAAGAGATGGATTTAATTCTCCCAATGTTCTGGTTTCTGTGTTCATGGACTACTGGTTAAAAGCGGAGAGAGAATATGCCCAAGAAAAAAAGAAGTGTGTAACAAGTGTCACTGTCATATAGGAGCATGCATGACTAAGAGCTATTGCATGTCAGGAATAAAAAAAGAACAGTGGATAAAGGGGAAGAACCCAAGTTTCTTTTGCCCTTGCCTTTTATTGAGCCATAAACACATCAAGTTTTTAGTTTTAATACACTATTATTATTATTATTTTAGATAAAGGCCACCACTTACATTTGCATAAAATTCAGGCTTTGAGGGCAAATATTTTATGGTGCTTTGAAATATTGGTGTGGAATAAATCTGAGAACAAGCCTTACTTGTGCAACTTAGTCCAAAAAAAAAAAAAATCATAATTAGAAGAAGAAAAAGCAATATAACGATGACAGGAAATTCAAGGTCGCCATCATCAATATGGATACATTTTTGCTGCTTTATTCAAGGACAACTCAATTTGGCTACTTTTATTTATTATTTTATTTATCAGCATAATAACAATGACTTGTCGAGGCTTTTTGTCCAACTGTATTGAGTGGCAGTCCTTGGAATCATATTCCATTATTGAACCAGTCTGCAAATTTACAAATGCACAAAAAGTAAAGTCAGCAATTCCGCATATTATTATTAATACCCTTTATGGGACATTATTGATTGTTACTGTACATTATTATGCAATCGGTATGTAAGACATATCCATTGCTTGTGTTCGTAGATTTCACCCAGCATGACCTTTAAAGAAACATAGTCATTTGAAGCTCAACAGAATCTATCCACATTTAATTTGGCCAGAAACACCAAAGAAATGACTGTACGCAATGCCAGAAACATTTATCTTACAATCATATGCATGCCAATAGTTCGATAATATGAAAAAAAGATCAAAGTTATCTTTTCTTTGTCTGAGGCTCATTAAACTTTAGAAACTGCACTTTTCTTCTGCTTTACCTTATTTTCTCTATTCTTTCTCTCGCTCCCTATCTCTTCTCAAACAATTACGACCTTAAAAGCCAGCATTCAAAACTTCAAAGCAGGTGATGAATTCCAGAACACTTCACCAAGCAGAGCTGACCAACATTGTCTGAGAATGTCTTTTAGTTATTTTTTTCTGTGCGCAGGAAGATACATTTAGTATTAATGCTACGCTGCTACATTTGCTCTCTTCTGAATCGTTTCTTATTCTGTTGAAACATGCTTACGATGGATAAGCGAGGTAATTGGCTATCAGCCGAAAGACTGTAAATCCATCAGCAGGATACAGCTAGAGTGTTGGTGATGGGTAGGGGGAGGACATCCCTTCTTGTGGTCTGACATTGATCACTCCTTATTATGTTTAAATAAGGCCTGTATATGATACAGATGTGGGGTGCCGGATGTGCACATGAACCAAGTTAAATTTCTATGCAACATTTTTATCTTTGATAATTGGATTGTAGGTTTTGCATAACGATGTGGCAGAAATCACCCATTTACATCTAAATTTGATAACTTGAGCCATTCCGCATGCCAGAACCAGCACTGGTGCTCTTTAAAAATGTTTTTTAAATAAATAAAAATTTATAAAAAAAATAATAAAAAAAATCAATTAAAATAAATAAGAAATTAAAATAAAGAATAAAATAAAAAAATAAAACTGTACAAGTAATATGAGTAAAGCTGACATAGTCAAAAATACTAGCAAAAAAAGGGCAAAAATACAAAATAAAAGGAGAGAGCAAATTTTGATACAAGGGTAATAATAGCCCATCTAATGTTCATCTGATGGAATTCGGCAGTAATCAAGATATCTGCACACACACACACACTCAGTGGTGATATTGATCTGCTGCCTGTGGAAAAGTGCTGGCACATGGAAAAGTGGAGGTGAAGGTCACGGGCTGTCCAGAGGCAGTAACTCAGGTTTCACAGGGATGATGAAGTGAGACACAGGCTAGGCTAATGGACAGCCAATCCCTTCATCAAATCACAGTGTCCATTTAGGCTTTGTGTGCTCAAGAAAAATGACTTGGTTTGAAAACATATTTAGGGCCCGAGCACCAATGATGCGAGGACCCTCTTGGAATTGCTCTGCTTCTTCTTCTTCTTCTCCAAAGTGAATCGCATTTTGAGGGCTTGAACATGCTCAAAAAGTCACAAAACTTTGCAAACGCATCAGAACTGGTGAAAATATACATCTGATATGGGTTTCAGAATTGGGCCTGGCAAAATGGCTCGATATCGCCATCAATAAAAATTCAACGAAGCGCCCCTCATGCTATGTTTCACGTACATGTAAGAAATTTGGTACATGCATGTAATGTCCCAATACCTACAAAAAAGTCTCTTGGTGCGAAGTCCTAAACGCAACAGGAAGTCAGCCATTTTGAATTTCCTCTTTGTGCAGTTTTTGCCATTTTCAGACGTCGTATAACAAACTCCTCAGTTTTAATTGGATCGTCTTCAAATTTGGTAAGTGTAATCATAAGGCCTTTGCAATGCTAAATTGCGAAGATGTTGAGTTTTCGTCGAAGGTCGTGACTGTGGTGGCCTGACAAATTTTGATGTTTCACCATGAAACAGGAAGTTGCTATAACAATGTCTACATCAGCATACAATGTCTGATCTGCCCCAAACTTCACATAATTGATAAGTGAGTCCTGTCCTGAACACATGCCCATGCCATTATTCAGTTGTAGTCATAGCGCCACCTGCTGCCAAAAGGAAGTGGCATGTTTTACGCTGTAACAAACTCCTAGAGATTTAATGGCATCAACATGTTAAATTGTGAAGATCTTCAGTTTTCGTTAAAGTGTGTGTCCGTGGTGGCCTGACAAAGTTCGATGTTTCGCCATGAAAATGACGTTGTTGTAACTCAGCCATACAATGTCCGATCTGCCCCAAACTTCACACGTTTGATAAGAGTCTTGGTTTGAACACATCTAAAGGCCAATATTAAGTTATAATCATAGCGCCACCTGCTGGCAACAGGAAATTACTTGTTTTACGCTAACTTAAACATGTAATGTCAGATCTGCCCCAAAATTCTCATGTTTGGTAAGAGTCCTGGCCTGAAGACATCTAAAGGCCAATATTAAGTTATAATCATAGCGCCACCTGCTGGCAACAGGAAATTACTTGTTTTACGCTAACTTAAACATGTAATGTCAGATCTGCCCCAAAATTCACATGTTTGGTAAGAGTCCTGGCCTGAAAAAATCATGCCAATATTTAGTTATAATTTATAGTGTCACCTATTGGAAACAAGAAAAGTCATGTTTCCCACTAACTAAAATATGCAATGACCAATCTGCTCCAAATTTCTTGTTTGATAAGAGTCCTGGCCTGAAGACATCTAAAGGCCAATATTCAGTTATAATCATAGCACCACCTGTTGGCAACAGGACATGCCACGTTTTACACTAACTCAAACATACCAATCTGCACCAAACTTCACATGTTTGATAAAAGTCCTGGCCTGAAGACATCTACATGCCAATATTCAGTTATAGTCATAGCACCACCAGCTGGCAGCAGGAAGTTTGGCACATATAAATTACTTTGACATATTCCTCCAATATTTACCACTTTAAACGCATATTGCCCACCGTTCACTGATTTCCTAAGGTTACCGGGTGGAAGTGGCTCCTGGTGCGAGGGCCCTTTCAAGGCAGCTTGCAGCTTTAATTTGAGTCTGATCTCTGAGTTAGCAGGGGCAGAAATGAGGAGACACAGGAAAACATAAATCCAAACTATACAAAAAATAATAATTTTTTAACCCTCAAAGTCTGGTTGGGGTCATATAACATATTTAACATTTAATTATAAGGTTGTATTTAATATTTGAGGGACTCCAGACAAGAGTAAACATCCTCATATATATATATATATATATATATATTATTATTTTTATTTTTTTGATTTCAAAAATAGTTATAAATTCATTTTATTGACTTATATTTTACATTTAGATTTTTTTAATTCATTTTAATTTTTACAACAGAAACAGCAGTTCTAGTATCTATAATCATATTTCTGAATATTGCATCTCTGCTTTGTGTTAAAACTTTAAAAGTATCTGCCTTCTGGGTTTCATAAAAGAATATAAAGAATAATTTTTCTCACATAATTTTTATACATATGTCATATATGTGAATATATTAGTACATATTTTTAGAATGCTTAATTAAACATTTTGGTGTTCTCTGCAGCTCAAGTTCCTGATAGCGATGAGCAATTTGTTCCTGACTTCCACTCAGAGAACTGTAAGTACATCATTCCTTTTGATTTACGTCTTATTCATGAACATTAATGAACATGAAACCTGAGAGGCTGAGAAAAATGACAAAAACAAAAAGATATAGATAAAGAAGAGGAAGTAGGTTTGTCCTCCAATTATTTGTCCAGAAAGTGACTGATTGACAAACTGCTGGAGGCTGAGGCGTGGAGATTTTCAGACGAACTGTCCTGTTCTCAGCCTCTGCGTAACAGAAACACACGATACATGACCTATACACTTACACTGACGTATTTGGATGTTCATACTAAAGAGCACCTTCCATTTGCATGTGCCTGAAAGACTCAATTGAGCAGCTAAGGAAGCCGGTAAAAGATCATTCAGCAGTCAAGCACAAAGATTTCCTTTTTGTGTCTGACAGAGGTGTAAATGGGAAAGCAAATTCCTACCGCACAATGCAAAGGTCACCTTTTCAACTGCAATCCTTATTTTGTTGTGTCTCCTGTCAATGGCGTGCCGGGCTTTGTGGTGCATGCTCTGTAAACAGTTCCCCTTGAACCTTTTGTTACAGCCATTCACAATATATTGGGTTGGGCCTTTACCCCGCTGGCAAGTTTGTTATGGTGACAATTTTTTCAAGGGTTGCAAAGTTCATAGTATGAGTCATAGATCTTGTTTTTTTCAGTAACATGGACCGGGCAGTGGCTTGCTAAAAGACACAAACAGTGCTATAGTACCCCATTCTAGATCTGACCTCTAATGACAGATGCTCCCCATAACATATTGTTCTTGTCTGTTGTGCAACAATGAGGGGGAGGAAGTGGAGATGAACTCTGGGGCAGGAAAGGGTCATGTCTACTTAACCCCATCAGGACATGACCAATCACGAGTGCTCTTTGCCATTGACAGCCTTTCCTAATAGTCACAGAGGAGATGGGAGTTCAGGCTGACAGGCCTGTCACATTAGTTAAGTGGAGCAAAGCTTTGACTGACAGCAACACCCGCCCTTTCATTTAGACGTAATGGAGTAATAACTCATGAATTGGTCGCCGTTTGAGGTCGCTCATTGAAAAAAAAAGCCTTGATTTGACAAAGCGGCTATACACAAAAATATATTCTCCCACGTTTGTGGTCCTTATGGTGTGGGTCAGTTTATGCCACCAGCTAAGATCCAAACACAGCCTCCTCCCTATTGCTTTGCTAGGTTAAAACGCACTAAGATTATCATGACATTCAGGTGAGTCAGATGTTTTGCTAAATCGTGCCAGCATGTTACATTTCATAACTGTCTCTTGGCCTTTTGTCTGTAAACACATGAGGGAAAACAAGATACATGGCATCAAGTGTTCACTTGTTTTGCCAGTCAAGTTGTTTCCCGTCTGCTCACGAACGTGAGTCTAAGACTCTGGGATAGAGCGGAATGCCAGATTAAAGAAGTGGGGGAGGTGCTGGACATGCTGTTGTGCAACACCTGCACATCTGGCAAATCTATCCCCATCCATCTCGTTTTTCCACATTGAGAGTCTCCATTTGGCGTAACTGTGACCTGTTTGCCATTATTGGGGATGGAACTAATTTGGTACATCCTCGGTACATAAACTGTCATTCAAAACTTGGGATATGAATGTGAAAATGATTAGTTTGACTAGTTAGGGAATCATTAACATGTTAAATGCTTTAAAAGGACTTTAAACTAGACAGTGCTGTAGAAAATGAATAGCCAAAGGTGATGAATCAGAACAAGAGATCACAAAGCAAACACAAAACTTCCCATAAATTGTAATAAATTAAAACGGTACATTTTTTCTTTTTTTTTTGTCAAATAGTAATTGTGAGCATGTACTTTTTAGTTTCATCCCAACAAATATAAATATAAAAAATTAAACCCTTTTGTTTCTCTTTATAGTATTGATTAGTACAGGGGGATTTTGTCCTGCTTGTAATGGCACTCAAAGAACAGGATTCTTTCTCCCATTCATGAAAATGCCCAAGAGCAGAACTGACTCCACCCTCATGGTTCCTTTTTCTGAATGGAGGTTTTAACCCCACCCCCATCCTGTTTCCCCTCCAACTGAACTAAAATGTGATAATTTAGGCTGCCTTTTCTCTCCTGTTCTCTCTGTCTCAATGCTGAGTGTTCCAAGATGTGAGTTAATCCTGCAAGTGCTGTGTTGTGAGTGCCATTGTTTGGTTTTGTGCCTTGTTGTAATATAGGAAGTTGTGGCTATAAATCCAGTCCCATAAAAGAGAAGTCTACAGGAAAAAGAGCAGGAGAGATGAAAACACAAGAGATGTGCAAATGGATTTCTGAATTTACAGTCTCAAGCCTGTTTGCACTTCCGTTAGCTCTCTCGACGTGTCTGATATATCACTGGATTGTGCTGTCGTGCTCGACCCCCGCCCCTCCTCAAACAATATATGCAGCTCTACAGCTCTCAACTTTCCAAAATACAGCTGCTATGCAACAAAGTCTGCAAAAACATCCCCAAGTGTGCCAAAAATGTACCAAATGTGTCATTTTACCCCGTTTAGGGGGCCAGGCTTTCCTCTTTCACTAACTTTTTGCAGTGAAACGAGCCACACGCGTACACACACACCGACGCACGCGCACATTTAAGCCCCACATTTTTTATGAATGGGCTGGTTGTGAGGGACTGGCTGAGGCAGCACATTAAGAGAAAACGGAATCTCCATTCATGATTTGGACTGACTGAGAGCTGCGCACAACACAGCTTTACAGAGATGTTTTTCTCTGCCTCTTCATCTTTTTTCTTCAACCTCTTTCTCTTCTATTGTTGTTTCGATCTTTCTTTGTCTCTTTTTCTTATCTTTGATGTTTTTTCTTTCACTTTTTGCTCTTTTTCCATAACTTTTACTGTTTTCTTTCTTTCACTTTTTCATCCTATCTTTCAGTTCTTAGCTCTCTTTTGCTTGCTCTTTCTAACAATTTACAATATGTATTGTATAATGAAATATTTAAATCAATTTTATTTTACAACATTTATCTCAATTCATGTCAATTTATAAATTTAGACAACTGTTCAAAAGTTTGGGGTCAGTAATTTCTTTAAAAAAAATGAAATGATGACTTATGCAGCAAGGATGCATTAGATTGATCAAAAGGTGACTGTAAAGACATTTATGTTACAAAATAATTCAAGTTTTAAAATATTGTTCTTTTGACCCGTCTATTCATAAAGAATCAAAAAGAAAGAAAAAAAACATATACCATGGTATCCACAAAAATATTAAGCAACACAACTGGTTTTAACGGTGATAATAATATAAAATGTTTCCTGAGCAGCAAAATTATTTTTGAAAGATCATGTGTCACTGAAGACTGGCTGTTGAAAATTCAGCTTTGCCATCACAGGAATTTATTACATTTTAAAATAAATACAGGAATTAAGATAGAAAACTTGTATTCAAACTTTCATACTTTTATTCAAAAGTTATTTTAAATTGTAATAATATGTCATTATTACTGTTTTACTGTATTTTCGATCAAATACATGCAGCCTTCCTGAACATAAAATACTTCTTTCAAAAATTGATTAACCAAGATTAATAAATTCTATATTTAAGTATTGTCATTTTTAGTTCATAACTATTGTGGTAACTAATGTTAACATATACAATCTTGCTGGAAAGTTTTACCTTTCTTTCTTCTGAAAGTCTGAAGTCTAAAACTTAATAAGAGCAAAGTTTGTTCGAAACCAGCAGTTGCAAAGTTTTAGGATGTTTTTGTAGGTGGATACATGCCAGACTGTAAGTGCCAGTAAACAGCAGCTCAGACACTTATGTAAAACATGAATTTGGAAGCTTGTGCTCCGGTCTGCTGTTGGAAGAAGTTAGACCATCCTCTTCCCAGGCTGAGGTATGGCCGCTGAGGCATTGAATGGACAGCAGTGTGTATTTTACTGCATCGGTGCGGACAGAAGCAGCGGGGCAAACACTCTAAACCTACCCAGGAAATTGCCTTTTCTCCCACCTCTCAAAGAGGGTTTTTTTCCTCCCTTCTCCTGCTTCATAGAAAAGAAACTGAGGTGGGGGCTAATGATAACAGAGCATATGTAACATAACATACACACGTCCACACACATCAGAGATTTCCAGCGCAATGCGATAGACAGAGTTTGGAGACACAGAGTCTCTTCCAGCTAAATAGTGCAAGTCATCACTAGTCTAAATCACTTAGCTCAGTCCATTGTTTCAGCATAATCTCGCATCAGTTCTGCTGAAACGCGACGGGCCACATCTCGTATAGAAAAAGCAATGATGGATCTATTGATCCAGGGTGATCTCAGAAGTAGATCAGGCCGCATAAGAAAAAAAGCTTGAGTGTTTTTCTATCGCTCTGTGTATAATTAAGATATCGTCCCAGTTGGGACTCAGTGAGACTGATTGAAATGTATTTCTCACCGGCTTGACAGAAATTCAATGAGCAGGTGTTATCTCCCATCTCTCTGCAGGTCTCCATTCTTTACAGTAGAGTTCCTTATATAATTTCTGCAATGAGCAGAAAATCAATATATGCATTAAACATTAAGAGTGGACTGCGATATATTGAGGGCTGACGAATGTGAGGTTGAGTGTTTGATTACTCTTTCCACATGAACGCATGCATAAAACAATATCATGTTGCGATGGATGACATCATTCTATTGCATTTACAAATTATGGTCACCCACCTTTCACATTTTCACTTTCGTCTAGTTTTTTCAAAGTTAATCTTTTGGTAATGTTAAAATAGCTTAATGATTCATTGTTAAAAGACGGATGATGCATTTCTTTTCTTGGCAAAGCATGTCATGTCATCAGGAGAAGAAAAAAAACAATTCAACCATAAAGGGAACTGATACCGTGTGGTTAAAAGAAATGTGTCATTTGCCATTCAGACCTAGTCAGCCAGTCGTGTCCACACCCAATCACAACATGACATTTACTATACAAAAACACTAAACACATCAAGCATCCAAATGTGTTTTTTTTTTTTTAAACATGTTGAGAACAAAATTTAGCTAAAGACGAGACTGTCTGATGGTTTTTACTTATCTTGTCATTCAAGTTTGCCAACAATTTTTGAGCTATCAATAGCTATCTGAAACTCAAAGGGGAAGTCGCTGACACTCAGAAGTGACAGTCAAACCCAAGCAAGCGGAGTACAATTTTTATGGCAAACCCCTGGCCATTCACCGTCTGAGAGAGGCCAGAACATCCTTTTTTGTTTGCATTCTCTCGCTTGCTCTCTCTTTCATTCTGATCGTGTTTACATGGACACAACATATCTGCCATGTGTTGCTGTACTGTGCTGAGATGACAGCATTGTTTCTGCAAAACCTCTGGCTGAAAGAACAGTCCTTTCTATCATCCACATTCCTCCCAGGACTTTCCACTGATCATTTCAATGATGGTGGATTTACAAGAGCTCCTGAAAGAAACATGAAAAAGCTCCATGAAAGAAATAGCTGAAAAACAACTTCGTAATGCTCACCAAGCCATTATACACACTACCAAAAGTTTGGGATCTGTAATACTTTTATTCAGCAAGGATACATTATTAAACTGATCAATAGTATCAGTAAAAAGACCTTTATAATGTTACAAAGGTTTTCTGTTTCAAATTAATGCTGTTCTTTTGAACTTTCTGTTTATAAAAAATCCTGAAAAAAGGTCACGGTTTCCACAAAAAATATTAAGCAGCACAACTGTTAATTAATAAATGTTACTTGATTTTAATTACTTGACCATTCAAGTAATTATCAGCTTATCAGTATCAGCTGGACTTTTAATATTGGTGCAGTGCTGTAATGTCTACAATAAGGGTGTCTATAATGTATTTTTAATTGGATTATTATAATAGTCAGTGGCGGCTCGTCGGGGGAGGCACAGCTTCTCCATAATTTTGAGGTGAAAATGGGAGGAGGACGATTTAATGTTAATAGAATTCACAATTCATTTCGGTTCATGTCTCAGAATGTGTATTTTTTGTTTGTAATTTCACAGTTGTAATACCATAATGTGAAAGCGCTGCTTTACTATCGGAGGCTATAGCCTCCCTTCTGATATCAACCAATCATCAAAGAGATGTAACTTATGTAATATTAGTTTGAACGTCTGCCGCTGCACTGATAATGTACCAAGTACTTATGATGAGTAGCGATATTGAATATTTGATCGCCAACAGATTTACCAAGCTGTCATTCAAACAGTATATATACAAATTTAGGGAAAACAGCCTAAGCTGGATATAGGCTACAGCAGTCGGCTTAATTAAATGGCGCAATAGGCAGCTCTCTTTTAACACAGACTTTTAAGAAAGGATGGGTGTTTGCTTCAAGTGATAGGCCAGGTAAGTGAAATTATATTATCTTGCTGTATGTCGTTTTCTTTAAATTTTCTGACTAAAAGCAACCAAAAAGCCATTTTAAAGTGGTTAAGCAAATAATAATAATAATAATATTCGGCTGGGATCCCAGACCAATACAATTAGTGTGCCTCTATTTTAAAACCCACGAGCCGCCACTGATAATAGTGACTTTCTGTTTTACAATTCTGCCATTTTTACTTCAATTAAACACCTGATGTACTTCCTATAACAGGCTGTACTTAAAAAGAAACAAGCCAGCTTTGAGAGCTGTGTTAAGTAGGCTGCCCAAAATCAATACTGTCATTTCAACCTTTAAGCCATATAGACATAATTGGCATCCTTGTTGTTCTTATTGATTTGTCACTGTTGGTCTCAAATAGCCAGTGGGACGCCAGGCGGCATCTCTTCACTCACTCTTAAGCAGACTGCTATCTGAAATCAGATTTTATCACAACATCAGCTCAAATATCAAACACGCATGAAGGATTCACTCACATCACACCCGAATAACGCAATACGATAATCCTTTTTTTCCCAGTGTTTTTATCAAACACTCTTTACATAAAGACTTGTTCTGCTCAGGATTTGAGTTTTATCTGATGACAGGCCACAGCAGTCACGTTCCTCTGGTATAATACGATAGGCTTATAGTCTTGAGATATTATTACTCAAACTTTGGTACATTGTACCTGTTGAGTTGATACGGATGGCCTCAACTGTAGCTGTCATAAGATGAAAATGTCCAGGATGTGAGCCTGACATGAATATACAATACTGTCCAGATGATGTTTTGATCAAAAGGTTTAACTCAAAAACAAAGTTGTCCTGCTTTAACAGTGACTGAAATCTGATTTTCTTGATCCAAAGCACAGCTCAAAGGCTCACAGTTTCAACAATGGTACTTTTATTCAAAACAAATTGATTAGCGATTACTTGTACTTTAACACACTCTCTGAGGACGAACCCCCAGAGCTCTTAGCTAAGGCCACCATAACTCCTTCTGTCACAGCTGGTGGATCTTCTCTCTTTTTTTTTTTATAGGGCAGGGGGGTATCGGGGTCCTGAGATTTGTTTGTGGTGGGAGTTGACCGAATGGTCTTCCATAATGATCCCCTACTTCCTAAAGCACTCAACCATGACCATAACCTTTCACCCCTTATCCTCTTCACTGAATCGTGCTATTTACATGTGTAAAGTCCAGCTCCCACCTCTAGCCCAGTCTGTCTCTAAAAGCTCATCCTGAATGGAGACACTCTTGTCATTTAGGTACAATGCTACTGGTTTTTCACACTTAGATGTAGCTTGAAGGGAGGCGTGAATGCAAATGCACTCGTATGTAAGGACAGCATTATTTAAATCTATTTGAATCTATCTGTTGCCAGGTTTATAGCCTTACGTGGCAGATTATGATCACCAGAGGTGTCAAACTCATTTTAGGTCAAAGACCAAATTTGTTTTATTTTATTTTGATTTTTTTTATATTGGGATAAAACAAAAGAGAGCACACAGAATGTACTGATTTCATTAATCAGAGGCTTTAATATCAATATAGGGCCTATATTTTAAATGGGTAATTAGAGATATTAAAAAGAGAAAAAAAAATGTATATAAAAAGTATACAGCTCATTTTAATTGCAGACCTGCTTCTTAAAGTCTGAAAACAATATGTTAGCTATTATTGCAAGTGATAAATGCAAATGATAGCTGAAAATTATACAGCTGTAAATTCATATACATGCATCAAATAAAACCAAATGTTTATGTTTACAAAGCATAAACATGATCCAAACTCTCTCACACTGGCCCCAGGCCACCCTTTTTTACCCTTCCCCTGATCTAAACTCTTTGAAGATAACAATAAAGTAGTTGTGGAGTCCTTAATTAATAATAATAATAAAAAAGATATTCAAGGATTCCTCTTCAGTATTAGCCGTTATAATAACAAGGCCTCTGGCAAGCTTTAAGTCTCTTTCCTGATCACTGACTACGTACTTTACAAGAGCAGGACCAAGAATATCTAAACACAGATGTTACATTATACATTTAGGATCACAACCCCTATCCCCTCCTTTTTCCCAAGAAACAAAACCTAAGAAATATGAGTGGCTTTAGGGAACAGTGATGTAAATTTCACATGAATCGTAAAGAGAGAAAGCAGAAACTGAGAGCTTTGGGCAAATTACACTAAATAAAGAACAAGAGCTTCCATCTTTGTCACATCACAGTTTACTCGACTGCCATCAGTCCGTAAACTCAAGGAGATTTAACGACAGACGGATGTGTCTTGATAATGTTACACGTTCCCGAGGTGTCCCCCTGAAGTCCTCCATCCCATTTTAGAGTATTTAGAGTGGAATGATTCATTGCTTTAATAGAGTGGTTTTAGTGTCTACAGTGATTCTATGTTCGTAATGAACTTGTAAAAGTACATACAGCCTTATTTATCAAATGAGCAGGACATTATTAAAGCATTTAAATGTCAAATCTATAAATCTTGCATATGCAGACTCATTATAGGGGTGAATGTTTAAGAATTACTCATTCTTTTTATATTCAACTCTTTCTCTTTTGATTTGAGTATTGTGTTTGAGAGGGCAGGACATTGTGTCGCAGTGTTACAGTATTGGAAGGCCTTTCCCCCATTTTTTCTTGTTTTTGTGAATGAAATATGCAATTACCTGGGCTTGGGTTTTTAGCAGTGCCTGTTCTGTCAGGTCTGCGCCCACGACAATCAACACATAAACAGCCATAAGCACAGAGCTGCTGCTTAGCTGGAAGAGCACAGCTGCTGCTGTTTACCCTGAGCGGCCCAGAAAAACATCCTGTACCATGCCGTCTTTGAGCCCGGCTGCTCCCCTCCAATAATAAACAGCACTGCAGTTCAGACCCAGACCCCACGCATGCCGGGCGGCTCCTCTGCTACTCCTCAGCTAAATGCCAAAATCTCTAAAAGCTGGGCTGAAGAAACACAACAAAATCTTTTGTTAATGACCAGCTGCTGATGTGTTTATAAAAGGCTTACTCATTTAACCATAGCCAATGAATGTTTTTAGCAGTTCTGTGCTTTGAAAGGGTTGAGGGGGAAAAAATTTATTATAATTTATGGAAATTATAATTATGAATTTAATGCACATTAATAATTAAACAAAAATGGCTAAGTCCACTTTTCAGTATTGATTAATGCAACTTTTAATGCTAGTGGATGTTTGTCTATAATTGTTTGTGATTTACTTTGAAGCCGAGTCCAGGGCACAATACATTTTACTGTGTCAACTGTGGTTGAGTTAAATGATTACGTTTGCATGATCTATTGCCCTCACTATGGCTAAGAACAAACCAAGCCCATTAAAGTATTTGCAATACATGTGTATCTCTTAACTCTTGTCTGTATACTCTTGTTGTATTTTTAGTGCAGACAAAAGGCCTGGCATTTCTCGAGACAAGAATTAGCTGGAATGTGGTTCATTAATAAACCTGTTTCTCTGTGTACCACAGCAGTGGCATTCCACAGCCCGCCTGTGAAGATCAAGAAAGAGCCTCAGAGTCCCGGCTCAGACCCCAGCCAGTCTTGCAGTCACAAGCAGAGCTTCAGCTACCCCAATGGAGAGCAGTGCCTTTACGCCAGGTCAGTCAAAAGCTGAATGCTGTTGCTTGATGCCTCTCACTAGATGCTTCTTTCTCAAACATACTTTGTTGGCGTGAACAGGTTTACTGCATGCACTTTTAGCCCTATGTACAATATTTTAAGCATTAAAACAGCATTTTAAACAATGTATTAAATAAAACAGCAGACTTGTCTTGCTAAGGCTGATTTCACATTTTATTTAATTAAATACAACTAAATAATATTTTCACACATAATAAAAAAAATGAGAACACACCTGAGGGTCAGAATATGTAAAAAAAAAAAAAAAAACTTATAATTTTTACATTAATATAAAAAAAGTTTTTCCACTTTGTTTTGATTATGTTTTAAAAATGATTAATACATATTAATGTAATCTTTTTTTAGATGTGTAGCAAATATTCAATTCTCATACTTTACAATGTTGTGATGCCAAATTCACTTTATAACATTTAAAACGACTGAATTTTAAAAATTTTTCTAAACTTTAAGATTTTAATATCAGTTATTTATTGTTTATCTGTCATAACATAAAATATCTGTTTTATTCATCAGTTTTTTTTCACCATCAAAAGAGAAACAGTTAAATGTAATCTTTTTTTAGATGTGTAGCAAATATTCAATTCTCATACTTTACAATGTTGTGATGCCAAATTCACTTTATAACATTTAAAACGACTGAATTTTAGACTAAAATTCTAAGTTTAAAATTTTTTCTAAACTTTAAGATTTTAATATCAGTTATTTATTGTTTATCTGTCATAACATAAAATATCTGTTTTATTCATCAGTTTTTTTTCACCATCAAAAGAGAACAGTTAATAAGGCATTCTTGCATTGCAAAAGCATCTTTCAGAGCCTGTGTGTTAATCAAGGTCTTGTTTTCCCTCCCAGTTCCAGGTTCCCCTCCGGCTCTGCTGAGGTGTGCCCACCATTCGCTTCCCAAGGCCAGACCCTGCAGCGTATACATCCTGCCCATGCCACCGGGGGCGGAGGTGGTGGTTACCATCGGCAACACTCTGACCCGTGTTTGCCTTATCCTCCTCAGCAGAACTTCAAGCAGGAGTACATGGACCCGCTGTATGACCGAGCAGCCCACATGGCTGGGCCACAACATCAGAGGTTTCCTCCTGCCCATATGATGGTCAAACAGGAACCCACTGACTACACTTACGAACCTGGTATGTGAGCCAAAAGACTGACGACACAAAGTGAATTGATTTGCTTTGAAATGGTGTCTCATCGCCTTTCTCTTCCTGAAAAATCAAACTACATTAGGCCACTAATGTTAACAGTAAATTGGTCGGCAAAACCAAAGTCTTTTTTTCAAAAGAGTTTCTGTTTGCGGTTCTCCACATCCACTGACACTTTGCAAATGTCTCAGTGTTTCTGTACTTCTCCCCGCTCCTGCTCCTTTGCCCCTCCCTTTCTGCCTGTGTTCTTTGAGAGGGAGGGAGGCATAGGAATTTCATTGAGAAAATGGAGGGCACTGGAAAGACTAGAATCCCCAGCGGAGCGCTCGCGGGTGTAGTGTTGCAGCAGCGGCTTCCTCTTTCTGCAGGCAGATGAACTCATAATGGAAAAATGAGCGTAGCCTCGGTAACCTGAGCCTGTGCGCTGGCTTGGTCGAGCGGGCGGGAGGTGGTGGGGTTGTGTTGTAGCCGGGGGGTTCGGACCATATACTCACAACACAGGCGAACTCACCTCCTCCCACTCGGGTTTAGCGACTGACACAGGGTTGAAACACAACACCCTGCGCAGGTCCAACTTATCAGTGCTCTGGGAAAGACTACAAACAACAGTGATCTAACAAACATTGCACATAGATTAGCTTAAAAACAAAGTTACCAGTTCATTACCCGAAAATAATCGTTACCCGATTATTTTAAGTGGAAAAAAAGGAAGCATGACTTTTTCTGGGTTGTTTCGTATCCTTTTAGTTTTTTCGAGGTACTACTTTGTCCAGTTATGTTTTTGTTAACTAAAACTATTGAAATTATTAATTAACATTTCCATAATTTAATAAAGCACAAACATTATCTGAAAATGTTACACTTAAAAGATTTAAACAAAAATTTGAAATGTTACCTTGATAACTAACTGAAATAAAATAAGTTGAAGTCCTAAAATTACTAAAAACTGAAATAAAAAGAAAATCCTCAAAAACGAATAAAAATGACAAAAGCACATAAATGACCAAAAATAAAATGAAAACCGGAAAGAGAAAAATAAAAGCAGTATTTAAAGAATACTAAAATAAAAAGTTTTCACTAATATCACTGAGAAAGTCTGATGCTACTTAACTCAGATTCATACGTGCAGAAATGTGGCAGCTTGGGATGAGTTAGTCTGGAACAAAAGGATGTTTGTGTGAGGATATGTGCCCTATCTGAGGTGGAGTACAGGCCGTTATCAGTAGATTCATCCCTGACCAGGCCGGTGGCTGCTGCTCTGCTACAGAACAAAAATAGAGAGAGAAATACAAGCTAACACCAATAAGAGACCATACCAACACTTTTGTACGACGTGGTAGGGCTGCATGATTAAAAGCAAAATAAACCTGATAACAAGAAATTACTTGGTGTGATTATTAAATCGCAAAGGCTGTGGCTTAAATAAATACATGCATTTCAGAGTGAAGTGCGGCACTGTGTTTATTTACACGTGAGCAATTCAAGATCGGGTGTTTTCAGCATCCTAAAGCGGCCTGCACTAAATGGGAAAAAAAAGTAAAGTAGTAAAGTTTGACATTAGTAATAATTCTTATGTTTAATCTCTTTAATAATAAAAGTACACTTTCTATTATTATTATTATTTTTTTTATTATATCTGAAAAATCACAATTAGATATTTCCCCAATCATGCAGCCCAACCATGCAGTTTATGATTTATAAGTGGTCCTGTGATTGTTTCAGTTGAAAATGGAACTGAATAAGTTCCAGTCCAACAGCTGTCAACAGTTACATTATGAGCTCTATGTATGAGAAAAGTGCTCTAGTTCCTCAGAGCTCTTTCTCCTCTGTGACCTCTTATCACGGCCCCTGCCACTGCATTCTCCAGCCGTGAATCATTACTCCACCTCACAAATTAACGGTTTATCATTTATACAGTATAGAAAGAGAGAGAGAAAGAAAAAAAAAGAAAGAGAGAGAAGGAGTGGTACAACCGTTATAAAGCTGATTCTGGCTTCCTGCGGTGCTGTGTGACTGTTTAAGATCCACTGCTCTTTACTGCCTAAAAATAAAGCTGCAGACAGGTGATATTATGTCAAATGACTTTATAGACAAATGGACCTCTTGTCCTTATCTGCAGATGCACAAGCCTCACACTCTACAGAAATAGTGCCTAAAGAGGACTGGCAATGATTAGCTCTGTTCTTAAACCTAGTGAGCTGCCTCGCTGCCGACTACATAGGCAGCTGCCTTCTAAGGCAGCATATCCCAACCACAACATAACCTCATAAGGGACTAATTAGAAATGCTCTACATACTAGGCAGCATCTCACAAAGAATAGCGCTTCTTTATAAATATGCACTAATTCAGGGTTTCACAAACAGGTGTTTTTGAGTAAACTGCACAGGGTTCATGAGTTGATGAAAAGTTAACTGATGAAATTGAATGTAAAATTGAAAAAAAAAAAAAAAAATAGGGCTGCATGATTAAAATAAAACGGAAATTGTCATCATGATGCAGCATCTCAGAGAAGCTGTTGTTTCACAATAAAGGCAGCTTCTTACACAATTTAAATTTTACGTATATAAAAATTTTACACCGAGGTATTTTTATTTGTACTTTTCAGGATCAAAGTACTTATGATTCAACATTTGTTTAATCTTGTCTTCCATCTTGGATTTTTTTTTTTTACTTTCTGCAATGCATACTCGGACTATACTGCGTGTAAAGAATATATGCAATGGTGCCTCCCTCTTTGGGGATCTCAGAAGGGAACAAAACCGAGAACTTTAGCTTTTGCATCAGACCTTAAAGGGGTCATATGATGTTGCTAAAAATAACATTATTTGGTGTAATGTAATGTGTTTATGTGGTTTAAGGTTAAAAAAAAACATTATTTTCCACATAAATGTACATTATTGTTTCTCCTCTATGCCCCGCCTTTCTGAAACACGTAGATTTTTTACAAAACTCATCGTTCTGAAAAGCGAGGTGTGCTCTGATTGGCCAGCTATCCAGTGTGTTGTGATTGGCTGAATACCTCAAGCGTGTAACGGAAATGTTACGCCCCTTACCATACTGTGTTTCCGTGTGTCCCGGCACGACGAGACAAAACCAATAAAACCCATTACAAACGAGGCATTTGTTGCATCCAGTGGGGACATAATTACTGATTATAATGACTTATACGGTGTTTTTACGCATTGCATTGCGTATTGCGCTGCGTAAACATAAAACCATGTCTGCATTTGTGATCGGAGAAATGACAAACAACAAGTGCTACTCTACACTGCCCAAACTCGCGTTTGAATCACCAGTGGCAAATTCTTTCAATATAAAAAACGTACTTACAGGCTGTGAGTCAGAAGCGCCAGACTGTCCTTGCAAAGTTGGAACTGCCCCACTTTATAGAAACATTATGTCCTCTTTTGGAAGGCCAAACAAAGTAGTTTCGCTTTCACAACGAAACACACAGCGGCTTGAGTGAGCGGCGCCCGGCAGGATTCGACGAAGGAGGCTTGCGGCAACCACATGTGACGACCCCGGGCTGGACTCCGCTTCGTCCACGGTGAAAGCCGATCCGGCGATCCACAGCGCGAAGTTGATGTTGTCAACAACATGGCGGCGGCGGCAACAATACTACTGCGAGAATAAAAGTTACGCCTTCTTTCTTTGCGTGAACATTTGGGCGGTGTTATGCAAATCTTCCCACACAGTAACGTAGACATGTGGGGGCGTGTTTAAATGAAGCATTTTAGGAGGGTGTAGACGAGTCTTAACTTTTATAAAGAATATCTCTTTGGATTTGAGAAAGTCTTTGCAACTTTACAGATCTTCTTTATGCACCAAGAGAATGTAACACTCCAAAGAGAAAGGAAAAATTGAAATCGCATCATATGGCCCCTTTAAAATGCTGCCTGTGTAGGAAACTCTCTATGAGTTTTGGAACAGAGCAGTTGACTATCAACAGGAAGCATAAATAAAATTGATCAGATAATTTGCGTACATCCATCACTGAGGGTCATTCGCTTGTGTTTTCCCTACAGATGTGCCTGGTTGCCCCTCCATGTATCATCACAATGAGAGCTACCCCAACCCACAACACAACAGTGAAGGTAAGGACATGGTTTGTTCTTCTAGAACATGCAGCTCTAGTTCTAGAATATGCATTTCACACACTCACAGCATGTCAGGATTGGCCAGTACTGTGCGGTCACTGGCTAACCAGGCCAGAGGGTCTGTGTTTCTGTTGGCATGGACATTTGTTTCTCCCTTGCCTAAAGAATTCCAGGATAAATATTACTACTGGAAAAGACGAGTATTTTTCCTGGAGTGAAGAAAAATAATCCTTCTCTCCGCTTGCTGCATTTGCCGCACCATTTTGGGTATTTTCAGTTAGCTGATCTCTGTAATGAGCCATTAGATACAGAAAATTTAGTTCCTTGCATAAGTGTACATGACCGAATAATAATCATCAAGAATCTATGTTTCTCATAATAAGAATTCATAAATATCAGTGGAAAAACAGTTACTGTATTCGTACATTTCAATTTGAAAAGTCAAACAGGAAAATGCTCATTATTATTAATGACTAACCATTAATGTATTAGCACAATATACAAGTAACTCAATTGGATTGTCTTGGTATCCACATTGAACTACTAATAATTCCCTTGTCCTATCTTACTAGGTCACATGTTTGAAAATGATTCCCGCGTTGTTCCTGAGAAATTTGAAGGTAAGTCTCACTGGTCCAGATGCTATTTTCATACAATAGGTATTCATTTCAAATTCAAATAATCTGTTCAAGTACCAAGCTCATACAATGAAATGAAGTGCTGTAATTAAAACTACAACTCACAAAAATGAGAAACAAAATCAATAAAGTGGTGCCCAAAAGTCTGAGACCATTACTGAAAATGTATTCATAAATTAATTTTTTTAATTTTTTCCATTACAAATTGTCCCCAGCATAACAATCAGAATGGAAACTTGAATTGAAAAATTTATATAAATCTAGTATTTGGCTGGCCTCTCCTACACTGAATGAACTCCACAAGTTTGAGTAAAACCTGATGATTACATTCTCCAGCATGATTTGAGAATGATCCAAAGAGCATCTTGTGCTTCAGTGGAAGCAAGAACATCTGACCGTCTCTACAAAGGAGTTCACATGATCAGCGTCACAAATTTGCTTATTTGATTAGCGACCTAGAAAGTGTACAGAAAAAGAGCTGCATCGATGTGAAAAGAGAAAGAGTGCAGATTCCTAAACATTTCTAATTCAGTTCATAACATTTCTTCTTTAACACATTTTTTTAAATCCTAAAATTTGTTTAGTAGGTTTAAATTAGATTTTCAATGTGGTCTCCCCACTCTATGAATATTTGCAATTTAAGTCCTTATCACCATGTGTCTTAGCTTGGATAAAAAGTTTTGATATATGATTGCTATCTTTAGGTGAATTAATGGACAATCTCTTTTCCTTTGCTCAGGTGAGGTGAAGCAGGAAGGAGGCGGTGTGTTTCGTGAAGGCGCCCCCTATCAGCGCCGTGGCTCACTTCAGCTCTGGCAGTTTTTGGTGGCCCTCCTCGACGACCCTGGCAATGCTCACTTCATTGCATGGACCGGCCGTGGCATGGAGTTCAAACTCATTGAGCCAGAGGAGGTAAAAATTGGGCTTTTAAGAGTTCTCAGAAGGCAAAATATGTTTTTATATCCAGAAAACTTTAATAGCAATTGATCATTCAAAGATCTAAGATGACAATATGAATACTGGGAGGTTCAGATCAATTCGATGCAGTGTTTATTCAGCCTTCACAAACTATAGAGAGAATAAACAATGGGTTTCAGAGATTTGCTTGCGATCAGCTCATAGTTCCCCAGGGTCTAAGAACACATCTACACAATGCCAGTTTTCCATTAGCTGCCATGCATTATTTACCCCACTTAACAGCATAGTGAAATAAAATGGAGAATGGCTCCATTACCAAATATTACAACCTTCCATTTTGCCGGAGTCTAAGCACACCGCAGCAGTCGAGACGAGAGCGTTAACCTCCTATTGTCTGTGGTCAGTAGACGGCTAAATGGCATGACTCAGCAAACTATCCTGCAGAGATACATCTATCAATTCTGCTCAACCATACACATCAATCATTCATTACAGCCAAAATTTTACTATCGGAATTAAAGCATAGAGCTCTGTTGAAGACCAAACAATCTGTTCCTTAAATGTCTACTGGCCCAAGATGGAACAAAAATTGTTTCTAGGGCCCTCAAGTTGATCTTTAAAGTTTGGGATAAATAAGTATTTCCTCTAGGTTTGACAACTAGCAGTTTGAGCTGTGCACCGTGTGGTGTTTTGGTCAGCGTTTAGTGGTAAACGCTTCTTTGGTTATATAAAGGGAACTGCATTATTTTGTGGGGACTCGCCCTTCCTTTTCATAGTTCAGTTGTTGTACAGTCACAAAGGACCTCTTGTGTTCAAATTAAGTCACTGCAGTACAGTCATTTCCTGCTCTTATGGTTTGTATTATGACTTATTTTGACACTCTAGGTGGCAAGACTCTGGGGGATGCAGAAGAACCGTCCAGCCATGAATTACGACAAACTGAGTCGTTCTTTGCGCTACTATTATGAGAAGGGAATTATGCAAAAGGTATTGCATATCATATTTTATTGTCTCCTATGCAATTTTTTTCTTCACTTCAACCTTTACGTTGGGTTGGGATTTACTTTACTCTCTATTTGGGATCGCAGAGACTCCAATTATAGACTCCAGAATGATGTGTGTCAAATTAATAATAATAACCTAATTCCAAAATTTCAATTTTATCTAAGTAAGTAATGTTGTTTCTGTCCGGTGTCAGTTTGACACCAGCAAAAACACATGATACAAAATACATTTCGAATACAATAAAACAAAATTAAATTAAGTGTGCACCATCTGAAAATTCAATACATAATTACATATGATATATGCATTTCATTTCCATTTTTATTTCTAGGGTGTCAAATTAACCGCAAACAGAAACATTTTTCATGGATGATCTAACAATTCATTTTGTATCAACCTGATACTTCCATGTTAATCATGTTTTTTTGAGATGTTAAAAATTTGTTTGGGGTCCCAAACAGAACATGAGGGTTATTATTTTTAATTATTATTTTTTTTTCCAGGTGGCGGGTGAGCGTTATGTTTACAAATTTGTGTGTGAGCCGGAGGCTTTGATATCCTTGGCTTTTCCTGACAATCAGCGGCCAAGTCTGAAGGCAGAATTCGAACGCTACGTCAACGAGGAGGACACTGTGCCGCTGTCTCACCTCGATGAGGGGGTGTCTTACCCTTCTGAACCAGCTGCCACCAACATGGGCCCTCAGTCGTACTCTAAAGGCTACATGTACTAATGCCACCAACATTCTCCCATGTTCCCCATCCCAGTTTACTACCCGCTGCACCTATTGCACATGCCCACCCCATCCACTTGTATATAAGGCTGTTTTTTTATTTTTGTTTTTTGATTAAATTAATCTCATTAGGGACTCTGCATTCCTATCACTTCTGAGGCCTATCTAATCTAAACACAGTACTGTGGTTCAAGAGATTGCTTAATAAAGACCCAATACTACTACTACACCATGAGAACAGTCTCTGTTTCTTATGTTTTCAACAAATGCAAAATGCACTAACAGGTGGTGTTTACCATTGGCTGATGCAGTTTACTAAAGAAATCTATTAATTAATGAATAGCACTACTCTAGATCTATAAACACTCTTTTTGCATAAACTGACCTAAACTCAAATACAATTTTGTAATGTAAACTAACCTCCAGTATAAATCTGACATCCATACAACACATGTCTTTATGCAGACCGTGTTAAGACATTTATATATTACCACACACATTTGAGTAGCGCTGGAATGATGTCATATTTGACTCATTATCTCATCAGACTTATTAAATTAGCATTGAGGTGCTATAAGCAACGTTAGGCGTTCTGGAACCTTCGTGAGACAGAGGCCATTAACACAGAACGCGTTTCTGTGTAACACTGCGCTGCTTTTCAATTGTTTTTGTAAACATGCGCTCACGCCTTTTGCAGCAGCGTTCTGAAAAGCGTTCAAATTAAAAGTTGTCCCCTAAGGCCACCGAATTACACACGCCCCATCTTTCAACAGCATTTTTACCTGTCAAAAAGTAGCAACGCAAGCTCTCAGCTCCCTCCAGCGACGAAACACGAATTAACATTCTCAAAACGATGTTCACCCTCTACTCGTTTTTGGGTTTTTAATTCCCTCTGTCTGTGTAATCTGTTGTTGACAGGTGCGAGATGGTGAGCACGTGAAACTCCTGAACCGCTTCATCTTTCGCGCTCTGGACTTCCGCCTTTCCATTTATGGGCAGTGCGCTGTGAGCACAGTATCAAACGCATTCTGATTGGCTAAAAAGATTCTCACAGCGGCCTTTACAGTAGTATAATTTTCTACATACCATGTCAAACTAATTTTCTCACAGCATCTTTAAATAACAGAAGCTTGGAATAATTGTGTAATTGAAAATCAAGACTTGTCTAAATAGCCAGATTCCCCCCCCCCCCCATTTACTTACAATTCTGGTTTTATATTGCTTTCAGTATCTGGTCTGACCCCATTTTGCAACAATAACGGCAGGTAATGTTTCTTGTAACTGCTGATCAGTCCTGCACAATGTCTTGAAGGAGGTTTAGACCATTCCTCAGTACAGAACCGCTTCAACTCTGTGATGTTGGTGGGTTTCCTCCAATGAACTACTTGCTTCAGTTCCTTCCACAAAATTTCAATTGGATTAAGGTCCGGACATTAACTTGACCATTACGAAACATTTGCTTTGTTCTTCTTTAACCATTCTTTCGTACCAACTTGTGTGCTTGGGGTCGTTGTCTTGCTGCATGACCCACTTTCTCTTGAGAATTAGTTCACTGACAGATGTCCTGACATAATTATAATTCATTGTTCCATCAGTGATGGCAAGCTGTCCTGGTCCAGATGCAGCAAAACAGGCCCAAACCATGATACTACCACCACCATGTTTCACAGATTGGATAAGGTTCTTATGCTGGAATGCAGTGTGTTCTTTTCTTCAAGCATAACGCTTCCCATTTAAACCAAAAAAGTTCTATTTTGGTCTCATCTTTCCACAAAACATTTCTCCAGTAGCCTTCTGGCTTGTCCGCATGCTCTTTAGCAAACTGCAGACTGGCAGCAATGTTCTTTTTGGATGCACCATGCACACCGTGGCTGTTCAGCGTTTTCCTGATGGTGGACTCATGAACATTAACATATGTGAGAAAGGACTTTATTTGCTTAGAAGTTACCCTGGGCTCCTCTGCAACCTTGCAGACTATTACACATCTTGATTTTAGTGTTCTTTGTTGGTGGACCACTCCTGGGGAGGGTAACAGTGGTCTTGAATTTCCTCCATTTGTACACAATCTGTCTGACCAAAGTGGGACTTTAATTAAGAGGAACATTTTAATTTAAGTTGACATCAAAATGACTCCAAGATATGACATAAGCGGTAACAATATCAAAAACTGCAGGACATTTCCATCCCCCATCGCTTCCTCTAATGGAAGGGCTATAATACAAAATCTCCACTGTGGTCCAATACACTGATCCTGTGCGGTAATTTAAACATTAAAACAGAAGAGATGTCCCAAATAAAGATGAGATCTGTGTGTGATATATAACATCCTGTTCACTTGTACATGACCAGACCTCCGCAGAGGAACTAACTGAATTAATAAAAACCCTTTCCCTCTCAGCACTGTAACCAACATCCACTGACCAGACGGATATGCTGTCCACACATTCTACAACACAAATGGGTCATTCCGTTGAATCTGGGCGAAAAAGAGCTGCACTATACAATGCAAATAACTGATTTATGTTAAAGGGATAGCTTGTTTTAGAAAGTCAAATTACCTGGATTTAGCATTCAACACAGGGTTAAATAGCCCAGATAATTTTATTTCATATTTTGATCCCTCAGGTTATTTTATTCTTTTAAATACAAGGTAGGGATAATTTCAATCATAAATCCCAGGGAGACATTCAAAATAAAAATATAAAATGAAATGCTTCTGATAAAAAAAAAAGAAAAAAAAAAGTGCAAGCAGAAAACCAGGTTAGCTAAAATTTGAGGAAAAGTCGCCTTTAAATTGAAATATGTTTGTATATAAAAAAAAACAAAATTGGGGCACCTCATGTTTCTTACGAACATTTTTAGATTCTGTCCATTTTATCCTCCACTCTGCCAACACCACAAAGTTGATGTTTTGTTCAGCGGCAGTATGGGTTCTAGCGTCGTCTGAAGGCTCTGGATATTCTCCAGGCATTTGGTTCCTCGTAGCGGTTGTAGAGGGGCTCCAACCGCTGCTGTTTCTTCTGCTTGCTGAGGCGTGTGGGATCAGAGACTTTGAAGAATGCTGGAGAAAATTCTACAAGCCACCTTGGGTCAATGGTGGTCACCTCCCTCATGTACTCTTTAGTGGTCATAGCATTCAACACAGGGTTAAATAGCCCAGATAATTTTATTTCATATTTTGATCCCTCAGGTTATTTTATTCTTTTAAATACAAGGTAGGGATAATTTCAATCATAAATCCCAGGGAGACATTCAAAATAAAAATATAAAATGAAATGCTTCTGATAAAAAAAAAAGAAAAAAAAAGTGCAAGCAGAAAACCAGGTTAGCTAAAATTTGAGGAAAAGTCGCCTTTAAATTCAAATATGTTTGTATATAAAAAAAAACAAAATTGGGGCACCTCATGTTTCTTACGAACATTTTTAGATTCTGTCCATTTTATCCTCCACTCTGCCAACACCACAAAGTTGATGTTTTGTTCAGCGGCAGTATGGGTTCTAGCGTCGTCTGAAGGCTCTGGATATTCTCCAGGCATTTGGTTCCTCGTAGCGGTTGTAGAGGGGCTCCAACCGCTGCTGTTTCTTCTGCTTGCTGAGGCGTGTGGGATCAGAGACTTTGAAGAATGCTGGAGAAAATTCTACAAGCCACCTTGGGTCAATGGTGGTCACCTCCCTCATGTACTCTTTAGTGGTCAGCACAAGCTCATGATACACCACCCTGGGGAAAGGAAGGGATGGAATCCAGCTTTAGTACAAGCAGCATAGATACTAAGTTGTGTTGTTAATCTCTTCTGGCAACATTGTTGGTGGCAAACATACCATTCAGGTTGGCGATTGAACAACGCACTAGAGGGGTGGATGTAGACCACCTGCTGGTCTATGAGGGTCCTGTAACCTTCTTGAGGATCTTTTTTGGCTGCATTTCGGAAGAAACCACTGCAGATGGCTTTCTGTACACGTACTGTGGCTTTACCGCATGATACCACATCCAGCTTGTGTCTGAAGACAAAAAAATGTGTAATCATGGAGTGTAAAGGCCCGTTCACACCAAGGATGACTACTAGGGCTGCATGATAAATCGAAATGGAATCGAAATCGCGATTCGACAGAAGCTGCGATTGTCATGCGTATCTTTCAGTGAAGCACGGTTCTGTGATCAGCAGTAAATCTCCATCCAAAGGCCAGAGGGCGCTCTCGCACTGAAACTCCAAATACGCCTCGCAGAAGAAACCCAGGAAATGCCTATCGCTGCAGCTGAATAAACAGAAGATTCAACTGCTTTCATTGATTCAACGTGACTAATAAACACACGACTACGGCAATATACGGTTTATCGGAGTTCTTATTATTATAATTTTCATTAAAATAAAGTATATTTATAATACAATGCCTTTATCACTGCTTAAATACTATGTAATATGTTGCGTGCCTTATTCTGTGTAAGAAGCCACATCATCTCACAGAAGGATTTATTTCAAACACTCGACTGACGTTATGAAGTGAGTTTGGAGTAAAAATGTCATTAAAATGTGGTATTTTCACATGGTTACAGATGGAGCAGCATTTACTTCACAGAGCCGTAGTTCACTGAGAGGCTATGCAAACAGCTGTCATTATCGCAAACGATTTCATAATCGCGCAATAAAATCGTTTTTGCGTAACTTGTCAGTGAACTACGGCTGTGTAGTAAATTCTGCTCCATCTGAATGCATGTGATGATTTCCTGCTTTATTACAGAACCGGCTTAACTAACAGAATGCGCATGACAATCGCATTCGATTAATCGTGCACCCCTAATGACAACTATAAAAAAGTTTTAAAAATCATTCCTATTCTATGAGAATAGGGAAGTTCACACCAAAACTATAACCATAATGACACAGAGGAATGATATCAATATAATCACTTCCAGATTTTTTCCTATAATAAACATGGCCAATCAGAATCCACTCAACTTTAAAGAACTCGAGCAAAGCAGTGAATGACATAACTGCAGCTCATACTTATAATAAAGTGAATGTTATTGTCCGTTGGTGTCAACGCTAGTATAGTTACCAATATAGTTATTGCACTTGGTGTGAATAGGCCTTAAGGCTTAGGGTGTGTAATATGATGTAAGGAAGTCGTATAAAGTTACTGTTATTCTCAACCCCCCACCTATCCATGATGCCCAGCATCTGTTTGCGGATATCCTGCGCACGACGGAGAGATCGCGCCTGGATGAAGTTTTCGTAGCACCAGGGGTTGGAAAACTTGTTGTTCTTCCAGGAGTTGTAGACAGCCAACAAAGTCAGGTGGTCCCCCTCAGGCTGGTGAAACTTAGCCTTCTTCTGGTCTGCCAGAGCTTGTTTGTCCTGAGATTCAGAATAAAATCATGATTACTATCTTTGGGATCAGTTTGATAGGTTACCTAAAACTCCATGTAATGATGTAACCGTTCCTTGACCATTTATGGATCTGTTAACATGTGTGGGCTAAAGGAGTACCTTTGGTCTATAGAAGACATTCTGTACTGAGAGCATTGACACTATGGTCAGCATCTCTTCGCTACAGCCAAGATGGACGGACATGATCAACATCTTACAAAGCATGGGCTCCAGAGGAAACTCAGCCATCTGATAGGAACAGTGACAAGAAACTTAAAACTTTATTTTGAAAACTGAGCAGCTACAACCAAAACCTCAATAAAGCACACATTCACAAACTTAAGCAAAGAGACACACTTACTCTACGACCGAGGCGTGTGAGCAAACCTTCATCATCCAACGATCCTAGAGTGTACAGCTGCTCCATGGCCGTGATGAGCGTCTCCATGGGCGGAGCATCCATGAAATCAAATGACAATAGGTCATTGATGCCCATTGCCTGATTGGAGAAAAATGCTCATAATATTAATTATACACTTATACAAATCCAGTATTAGACATTTCAGTTTTCATTTATCAGCAAATACAGGACAAGTAATTATCTTCTATTGTCTATTTAACTGTACATTCTCTTTTTTTACATTTAGATTATCTTTTTATCATATAACCCTCAATTAAAAGTTTATCATTAGGTGCGTTTCCATTACAGATTTGCGCAAAACTTTGGCGATATTTTATAAATGTCGATAAAAAAGTATTGCGAAATGACAGTATTTCCATTAACCAATGTTATGCGACTAAAACGTAATTATTTCCTCTCGTAACAAGTTATGGCAATATATTTTGATGGGATTTTGGCTACACTAGCCACTATATTTAATCGAAGGAAGCGTATGCGTGTATCTTGACAGAAGCAGCGCGGAGAGCAGCTTCTGCAACGTGCCGTGACTGGTAACACAAGCTTTGACTAGAGTGGCCGCGATCAGCTCCGGTGGCCGTTTCAGAGCCATAACGTGCCACAGATGTGTGCAGTGTAATTAGTCTAAGCATTAATGGCAGGGAGAGCAGCCACATATGAAGTGTTTCTTGGAAGTTATAGTACATTGAGGAATGATCATATTACTTTTTACGTACGCCATGTGACCTGTTAATGCGGAAAAAAAAAAACGTTTTCATTGCAGTTTTGCGAAATATTCCTTTTTCGAATTGCCTGAAAAACCACCTCATGCGAGCACAAAAACCTTTTTGCGATATATATGGGCGTTTTTGCGAAATTGACATTTCCATTAAGCGCATTTTCAATTCAGGCAGTTTGAAGGGTAATGGAAACACAGCTATTGTCTTAACTATTGTACACTCATTTTCCAACTCCCCTAGAGTTAAACAGTTGAGTTTTACCGTTTTCGAATCCATTCAGCCGATCTCCGGGTCTGGCGGTAGCACTTTTAGCTGCAGCTTAGCATAGATCATTGAATCTGATTAGACCATTAGCATCTTGCTCAAAAATGACCAAAGAGTTTCTATATTTTTCCTATTTAAAACTTGACTCTTCTGTAGTTACATCGTGTACTAAGACCGACGGAAAATGCAAAGTTCCTTGATTATTACGCCGCAATTTTGAGCGAGATGCTAATGGTCTAATCAGATTCAATGATCTATGCTAAGCTGCAGCTAAAAGTGCTACCGCCAGACCCGGACATCGGCTGAATGGATTCGAGAACGGTAAAACTCAACTCTAGGGGAGTTGGAAAATGAGCCTATTTTCAAAAATAGTGGAGTGTTCCTTTAATAATTTAATGACAAATCTCATAATAAATATTTATAACATTTTTCAAACAGTACATTATAATGTTGTAAATTTACTTGTAGTATTTAAAATATTTGATTTTAGCTTTTTTTATCATTTTGGATTTTTTAAAATTTTTATATCAGTCATGTAATTATCGGTGTATCTGTATGTGCAAGAATTTTAATATGGTTGCATCCCTTAAAAATGACTCAACATTAGAACTGTTTAATTGTACCTTTAGAGAAAGTACAGTGCTGGCCAAGTTAGTTCTCTGAATCTCAGGTACGTTGGTGGTGAGCATCTCATCTCTGTAGGCACGTTCTGTGTAGAGTCTGTAGCACTTCCCAGGGCCTGTTCTACCTGCTCTGCCCGCTCGCTGCTTAGCCTGGGCCTATGGACCACAAGAATGCGGTTTAGGAGACAAAGTGTACTTAAAATGTATACTGAATGTAGTTTGGGTCATTAGAAATGGATGTTACCTGGGAAATGGGGTAACTACTAGCTGATCAATGCCAGTTTTGGAGTTATAAACCTTCTGCTTGACAAAACCTGGATCCACCACATAGTAGATCCCATCAATTGTCAAAGAAGTCTCTGCGATGTTAGTAGCAATAACCACCTAAAAAAAAAGCAGAATGTTTGTTAAAATCCAGTTCAAAATCTTTAAGTTTAGATCTTGCATGCCTCATTTTTATAAATTTATTTTTAAGTTGTATATTGTTCACTTTATTTAAAAAAGTACAAAAATAAAAATTACTACTACTAATAATAATTTAAACAGTTTACATAAATTATGTGTATTATAATTTAATATTGAAAGAAGTTTTTTTATGTTCACCAAGGCTGCATTGAATGATTCACATTAAAAACAGTAATATTGTGAAATATTACTACAATCTAAAATAAAGGTTTTCTATTTTAATACATTTTAAAATGTAATTAATTATTTTGATGGCAATGCTGAATTTTCAGCAGCCATTTCTTCAGTGTCACATGATCATCCAGAAATTTTGTATGATGATTTGCTGCTCAAGTAACATTTCTTCTCTTTTTGTGAAAGCTGCGATACATTTTTTTTTTTTCAGGATTCTTTGATTAATAGAAAGTTCAAAAGAATAGCATTAATTTGAAATAGAAATTAATTGTAACAATGCTAAAGTCTTTACTATCACACTTTAATGCTTCCTTGCTAAATAAAAATATTATATTTTCAAATAAATTAACAAATAAATAAAATAAAAACTTTATTGACCCTGACACTCATTGACTGTGTGAAGGAAGCCTCAATTTGTGAACCGTACCTTCTTGAGCAGGCCAAAGAGCACGTCTGTGTGAATGGTTCTCTCATGGGCCTCATCCAACATAATGATTGCATACTGGCCCAGATCAGGGTCAATCAGACACTCTCTTAACAGCATACCGTCCGTCATGTACTTAATGACAGTCTCGGGACTTGTGCAGTCCTCAAAACGGATGGTGTATCCAACCTGCACAGACACAGAAAGAGATCCGTTTCAAACTACTGTGGTCAAATATTAGATCACTGATGCCTATGTTGTATAAATTAATATAAGAAAGCATCTACCTCTTGACCTAAACAACAACCGTACTCCTCCGACACTCTTTTAGCCACAGACATGGCTGCCACTCTTCTGGGTTGTGTGCACCCGATCTTCCCCCGTGTGGTGTATCCAGCCTCAGCCAGGTACTGAGTGATCTGAGTGGTCTTCCCTGAGCCCGTCTCACCGATCACAATCAGGATCTGGTTGTCATGGACAGCCTGTAAAGACACAATAGTCAAATCTATGAACATAAATAAACTGAAATCTAGCTCAGGATGAATCTACATATCAGTTAAAGTCACACCTGAATGAGCTGCTCTTTCAGCTTGTAGATAGGAAGACTCTCTCTTTGCTCTAGAATAGAAAGTTGAGTCTTTTTGCCATAGGATGCCTTGTTGCCGCCAAAGGCGTGTTTCTTCCATTCTGGGATGTCGTTGGGCATCATACCTATGCCCCTCATGTTGGCAGCTATCTGCCTGCCGTCAGCTATATGGATGGTGAGCGTGAGAAAACAGAAAAAAGCATTTATTAGAGATGCACAAACATGATAACAGACTTGAGCTCATACAAAGCCAGAGGGCATTCAAGCATCAGAGATAGGCTTGTTATGTGCAGACCAACCACCATCTGCCTCGATAGCAGAGCGCAGGAAATCAGATGGTCATCTACGAACTCCCTAAAGCACAGTATGGACAAATAGGAAGGAAGTTTATCTGGAAATATCAGAGTCTTTCATATTACATAACTGCTTGTTCTTTTTTTTTAACTGGAGGACATGGACTTCAGTTTACTCACACAATCCTACCTCACTATATACTTAATCAGACTGTTTTTAATTTTAGTCTTCAAACAGCATCAGATGTGTGATATTCCTGTTTGATATCTCAGAATTCTGACCATAAAATCATTTGTGCACTTGGAAGATTATTATTATTGTTTTTAAATGGCAATGTTACCTTTAGCTTTGCAGGTGTTTTTTCAAATGAAGTTTGAATGTCTTACTGTCAGGCAGTGGGTCCACCCAGTGTTTGTTAAGGCCAGTGGGTATCGAGTCCATTTCAGCCTCCCGCTGGGCCTGTTTCACCTCCCGTCGCTCTTTGGCCAGGGCACTCTGCATCATGGCTGCTTGGGAGAGAGATCCATCGGGGTTCTGCCAGAAAAAAAAACAAAAAAATATGCAATTGTAAAATCACAGATTATGTCTGTATCAGTAAAATCAAGAGCTTTGCTTCCTACATTGCTCAGGCAGCTGTAGAGTGAGAGGTGGCTTGGCCTACCTTGACAATCTTGACAGGACTCATGTCCATGCTCTGTTTGGTGTGCCCCCTCAGGAATGGAGGTTCCTCTTCCACCAGCTCAATCTCCAAGTCCTCATCTGGTAGACAAACCACAACACAGACCAAATTTAAGGTGTTCCAACAAAAACATCTTTATGTGATGGGATTTTATTTATTGGCATGTTAAAAATATTGAGTTAAAGGATAATGCAACTCATACCCTCCTCATCATCAACTTTAGGCAGAATTCCTGTCTCTTCATCAAAGTCTGGGAATTCCTCCTTAGACAACACATTGGCAGCAATCATCTAAGAACAGACAGATGTTAAAATATCAACATATGTAATAAATAAGGCTAGGTATCGAGTTAGATACTTTTTAGGCACTGACAGAATTGCCTCGATACCATCGAGTATCGAAAAATGTCTTGTCGTTCGGTACCAAATTTAGATACCTAAGGGGTTAATCTGGTCAATGTCAGTAGGTAAGTTTACATGGACACTTTTTGCTTCCATCGGAAAGAATTCATTCTGATTGACGAATCCGAATGTAGTGTTTACATGAACGCTAAATAAAGTGATCAGGTTGATATGCGCGCTTATATGTCACAAGCTTCTGATCGGATTTAATCTTTTGACATGCGCACACTACATGGATATACAGAGTTTCCCCGCTGTTGTCGCACACTGTTTTAAAAAGCACACGTGATATTTATCTACTTCGGGTCCTAATTAGGCGACGACCAGCACATGAACTGTTGTGCAGTGCTGCTTACTTTATAAAGCAGTAAAAGTGCCCCTTCCTGCACCCAAAACCAGTCGCCTGTTGATGAGAGTCTTAAACAACGACTGGTGGGACGCTGTCCTGCTCCACTTCACAGACGCTGAGTGAAAGGGGAGTTTTATAATGACTCATTTGACACTTTATTCACCAGGAAGAACAGCTTGTTCCGTGCGTCATACGTCATTACACTATTTCTACATCACTGCGCTTGCGCAGTACTTTCCAGTTTCGGTTTTCAATCCGATCAAGTGTTTACATGTCCTCTCGCTCGGATTGCAAAAGGAATAAACCACCCCTTACAATCTGATCGAAATTTTAGTCGGATCTGGCCAATTCAATCCCATTGATGTGTTTACATGTGACTTTTTTTATTCTGATTGTGCTTCTAGTCCTATTACGATCAGATTAGTAGGGTCCATGTAAACGCATCTAGTGAGCTAGTAAGCGTGCAGCATGCTTGATGCGCCTAAATCAAGTGCTGGTTACTGGCTCTGGTGAGGCATCCAGGAAAAACACTAGTTTACATCGGTTCTGCCCAGAGACGTAGCTCACACGTGAGGCTGTAGCGTCAGACCTCCATAGATGTAAGGCTACGTTTACACTACAAAACAGCGTTTTGTATGAAATGAAAACGATACTCATCCTTACGTTTCCACTGCATTTTAGAAAAGATCTCTATCCACACTATACGACCGAAAACATGTGTTATGTGACCATTCATGCACATTGTAGCATCATGCTACATAAGACAATTTATCATATTTATAATACGCTTTTACACAAAGCTCACTTTAAACCACCATCGAGTGGACTGGCTCTGGTGAGGCATCCAGGAAAAACACTAGTTTACATCGGTTCTGCCCAGAGACGTAGCTCACACGTGAGGCTGTAGCGTCAGACCTCCATAGATGTAAGGCTACGTTTACACTACAAAACAGCGTTTTGTATGAAATGAAAACGATACTCATCCTTACTGGTGTTTCCACTGCATTTTAGAAAAGATCTCTATCCACACTATACGACCGAAAACATGTGTTATGTGACCATTCATGCACATTGTAGCATCATGCTACATAAGACAATTTATCATATTTATAATACGCTTTTACACAAAGCTCACTTTAAACCACCATCGAGTGTTTGTAATAACTTTCGGTTTGAATAGAAATGATGATTCTGTCTAAGCTATGCATTTTAAAATGAAAATGCACTAGTGTAAACGTAGCCTAAAAGATGTGGAAACTGAAAACTATTTGAACTTTATTAAAACTATTTGCACTGATTTATTGTGTTGGTACATTTTGTTCCTTTGTGCAGTGGCTCAGGAGATGAGCCTAACCCTAAAGTCAAGGTATCGGTATCGAAAATTTTTGAACGATACTCAGTTCTAGTAATAAATGTTATAAGAAATGATATCACATTAAAGATGGTCATGTACCTGTTTGATCTCCCACTTCTCCGGATCGGATATCTTGGTGAGTCTTTTGCGTTCCAATGTGTCATCCTCTACCTCTGGAGCATGGCCCAGGTTGAGGTTAGTGGGTCTGTCAGGATTCCTCATGGCCGACTCTTCCTGACCTTCTCCACCCACATTTCTCCTCCTGTTAGGGTTAAGATCTTCACCAGTGTCCTGGTCAACGTCCTTGTAAAAGCAAGATAACCCAACAAAAATCAGCCCACATATAACGCACAGTGATCAATCAATATAAAATACAAGCTGAGCACAAAATATCTTTCATATACGTAAAAATAATAATGATAAAAAGCAATAAAATAGTAAGTAATAATAATTATAATTATTACCACCATTATTATTTTCACTAAAATCATAATATACAAATCTAAATTTGCCTGTATTAATAAAAAGACAAAAAAAATAAATACAACAATAATAATAGTAATAATTTTACAATTACCATGATCACAATAATAAATATTATAATGTAGCAGTCTTTAAATAACAAACAAAATAACAAACTTTGTATATTTATTTTTGTTTAGTGGCCCAAAAATATGCAGAATATCAAAATGATTTTTTTTAAAGAATTTAACAAATCTGTAAATAAAATGCAGATTTAAAAATGCATATTTTAACTGTTTTCTAAACTGGTGACTTTTTGGACCTCAGTGTATGCAGTTCTGTCTGTTCTCTCTCACAGCTTTCATTAAGATAGAGCTCACTCACCTTCATACTGAGACTTGTTTTGGATCCAGTGAAGGACAACACCTTGACTTTGACCCTTTGACCTTTGCTGACCACATCTGCCACATTTGCTACCCGACCTTCTCTTCTGAGCTCAGAAATATGGACCAAGCCTTCCCAGCGTTTCCTTTTTTTGGAAAAAAGATGCGAGAAGAATTATGTTTAAAAAACAAAACCAAACTAAAGAATATCATAAACACTCACATAAATTTCAATAGCCTTAGAAGTAGATTATCTATATTTAAAACTTACCTGAGACCTTCCAACTGCACAAAGCAGCCAAACTGCATAATACTGGTGACTTTGCCATTGTAGATATCCCCCACAGATGGCTCCTCCGGTGGGGGCCGGTCAACATGTTTGTCCTTCCAGCGGTCGGAGCCTTTATCTCGGTCTCCCCGTGCAGGACTCCTGGACCTGCTGCGAGAGTGCCAGCGGCTCCTGCGCTTCCTTCTGTCTCTCTCATTGGAGCGAGATCTGGAACGGGAGCGAGAGCGATGGCGTCTCCGTCTGTCTTTGTCTCTTTCCCTATCCCTGTCTCTGCTCCGACTTCTGCTCCTCCGCTTCTTCTTACTGCTGCTTTCGGATCTAAAACGGATGCCACTTACACGTTAAAAAGCAACAATATGATGCAGCGGGGCAATCACTGCAGCACCAAGTTCAATGGCATCTATTTTATGTTACAGAAGTTCCTCACCTGTGTTTACTGCTGCTAGGTTCTGTACCACTAACACTAGGCATAAACATCTCCAACTCTTTCATGGCATCATCAGCAACTTTCACATCATCCTCATCCAGCATAGTCTGATTAGAGGAACAGATATAGTTTATGACCCATAAGTGGTTACTGCTGATTAAAAACACATTTGAAGTTATTTATATAGTCAATGCATATATAGAATCACCCTAGTATTAGGATTGTCAGGTCTGCACAGAGCTGGAAACAGCTCTTTCAGCTGGTCCTTTTCATTCTTTGGTTTAGCCACAGGATGAGATCCTATGCAATAAAGATCACATAAGAAAACAGTATTATTAGGAGGTATGAAAATATGGCATGAAAAATGCAGACTCTTGGCCTGATAATGTTGTTGATATCAAAATTAACTGTAATTCTATAAGACCCCGAATGCCCTTACCTTTACTGGTAGATGCTTTTGCAGGAGGACGCATGGTTTGAATGAGACGAAGCAAATTGCTGACGAGTGAATCCTAAAGGACAGAGATTAGATATTACTAAAACTCCAAATGTAAAATCACAACACACAAAATTGAAGGAACAAATTCTTGACATAGATGAGATTTTAAAAATCCTTACTGAGAAATCGGCTCCATTTTTTACCAGGACTGACTTAAATCCATCAATGGTTGGATGTTTCTCAGCAAGACTGATTACAAACTCAGCTGAAAAACACATAAACCAACAGACTGTTGCTACAGACTTCCATAGACACACATTGTGCCTCTCTCTTTAACATTTGTAAATAAGTTGACCTACGCCTTACCAAAATTTACTGTGAAAGTCTTTGCCAAAATACCTTTTACTAAAGTAACTGCTTCTACCGTAAAACCTTTTAACAGCTTTCAAATGGTTTCAAAGTAGGAAAGACATTTCCAAAAAAACAACAAACAATGCAGCTCTACCACATAACACGACCACGTTACTAAATAAAAATCACGTTTTTAAATATAAAAGGATTCTAGATAAACGAAAAGTGTAGCATAATAGGGTGACTGAGTTGTATATAATAACACAAATGAGCGGTTTGTTCCAGTTAAATTTTGTACACAAACATTGATTCCACATGTAGAAACAGGCTAACCAGCTATTTACGTTGCAGCTACCAACAACGTGACACGCGGTCAAGTTAAATGTATAACTTACCAAGGTCCTTATCGTTGATTCCTAAATGGTTGTCAAGTTCGGTACAAACTTTAGACACCAAAGACAAATATTCGAGCTTTTTGAGCTCGTCTTCCCCGATCTCTGCCATCTCTTCAGCAATATTGTTGTTTCGTTCACCGGAAGAAAGTGGCAACAGTTCCTCTTGTCCTGTATCGTCTAATTCCGGGTTACATTACAAGCGTCCTCTAACGGACACATGAGGAATTGTTCTGAAGGAGGGCAAATCCAAATCCAAAACCTGTACTGAAATGCTAAATTATTATTATTATTATTATTTTTGTGAATATTGAATTGAATATAATATCTTTATTGTCACTGTACTAGTACAACGAATAAAATCCTTTGGGTGCATAGTCTAACAAAATCAATAAATCTAAATCTTTTAAAAACTCGCGTACTATAAACTATAATATTAATAATAAAACACTGAACTTATTTGATCTTCCACAGATTTAATACACAATACACGGAGATAATACATTCAATTCTAATTTAATTCATTTAATTTGAATTACACTAAATATAATTTAAAAAAAATAAATAATTATACTGTGATGTTTGGCCAAAAAGTCGTCATCGCTTTGTCTCATAATGTAAATGTTTTGTATTATATTTTGCGTTAACTTAAATACAACCTAAAGATTATCGACGAACTGTGAGGAAAGAATTCTGGACTCAAAATCTCACTCCAGAGATCAGTTAGGTAAAAATGCTACGAGTAGAAGGTTTGATTTTTGTTTTTTTGACTGTTTGATATGATATTATATAACTTAAGAGATCTAGCGCGACATCTAGTGGCGCAAATGTGAATTTCAGGTCACTCCACTGACATTTCCCTGCGTAAATCCGCACCACGTTCAGATCCGTGCGGATCTATATATGATGCTGAGATTGGGTTTCGCGTGGTCTACATCATCAGCCACCAGCAAACACATCGCACAGGCCAGGCTCTTCACCGGATCCCTTCTGCGAAAAAACAGTCCTCGTACTTTATATAACAACCGGTGCTCTGGACTACCAAAAGCCCTCCAGTTTGGCCAAAAGTCAGTGCTTGCCAGTACCAGATTGTTCTGGGACAGCTCCAGGTAGGCACTGGCCTCTCACACCGTCATGCTTCCAGGCTGAGTGCTTCATGTGTGCTTGAACAACCGATTATAAAGCTCTGAAGGTTTCGTTAGCACTACAGCTAATACAGAGACCTTGATTCTATGTTTCAAATAAGTAAGCTGATGCCCAAAAATGCTGTCTAGGACAGTTGAATGCGTACAAAAATGCTATCTAGATAGGCAGCTTACTAAGTTTTGAGACACAGCCATTGTTTATATGCAGTAAAACGTATGCTATTGATATTGTAACTGTTCTAAAGTTTGTTTACAAATAAAAGCTGGCATATCCTGGTTTTCTAGCTAGTTTAAGCTGGTCTTAGCTGGACAGCCACCTGAAAAGTTCCCATTCTAAATCATTCTTTTTATTATTTCCAGGCCCCCTGCTTACTAAGGTCCCCTAGTGCGCAGTGGCACTCAGAGCACTTTCAATATTGATTTCATTTACCACAGATCTATTCTATGATTGCTTTAGGTCTTCTGGAGTGATTTTCTTCAGCATGGCATCAGGAAGTGATGGACCGGACAGATCAGAGACCCCAAAACACACCAATCGTCTGAGTAAAGAGAAGTCTTCCTATCTATTACAACATGCGCATAACCCTGTGGACTGGTGAGATCTTTAGGCGTACTGTAAAATACAAAGTCAGTTTACTTTACTTTTACTTTTAGTCATTTAGCAGACGCTTTTATCCAAAGCGACTTACAAATAAGAAAAAGTAATTAAAACTAAAAGCTAAAACTCTATAAATACTATATATATACACACATGTAAGAAAATAAAAGAAATGAAATAAAAATGACAAATGCATTTCAACAACATTTCAGTACGAGACCAAACGCCATTTCAGCACGTCTCAGTTTAGATTTTTTTTTTTTTAAATTGTCAACAAAAAGCACCCTGTTAATTCTTTATATACTACTATAATTCTTACTATAATTCTTAATAAAAATCCCTGTATTTTCCCTGTAGTACGGTATGGAAATCAAATAAGACTTCTATTAGATTTGAATTCAGTTAACTTTAGTTGATTTAATTTTGCCATTAAATATTTTTTCTGGTGTTTTCTTCCTTAACAGGTATCCATGGGGGCAAGAAGCCTTTGATAAAGCAAAGAGTGAAGACAAGCCCATTTTTCTTTCAGGTAACATATTGGTATACTTGATAACATGTTGCATACATGTTTTATTAGTGTTTTTTAATGCATAAGCCTAAATATTACAGTCTTTACTGCTTATTATTGCTTGCAGTGGGTTATTCCACCTGTCACTGGTGTCACGTGATGGAGAGGGAATCGTTTGAAGACGAGGAGGTTGGAAAAATCCTCAGCAAGAACTTTGTCTGTATAAAGGTGGACAGAGAGGAGAGGCCTGATGTGGACAAAGTTTACATGACATTTGTGCAGGTTTGGACCAGAAGAATTCATTGCTGTCAACGCCATAACTTACAAAGTGTCATGGATAATTGAAATACGATGAATACCTTGTGCCCAGGCAACCAGTGGTGGTGGTGGCTGGCCAATGAGTGTGTGGCTCACACCAGATCTCAAGCCATTCATAGGTGGCACTTACTTTCCACCCAGAGACAGTGGAAGAAGACCTGGACTGAAAACTGTGCTTTTACGAATTATAGAACAAGTAAGAGCTGAGAGTTCTTTCTCAGAGATTCTTGTAATATTTTTAATGTTACACTTCTTCATACTGTATGTTTCTTCCTATTAATATTTAATTAATTAATAATTAATATTCAGCAAGGATGCATTGACTTGATCCAAACTGACAGTAAAGACCTTTACATTGTTACAAAAAAGGTAATAAATACTGTTCTTTTGAACTTTTTATTCATCAAATAATTCTGAAAAAATATTAATTAACTATTTTCAACATTAATAATAATAATAATAATAATAAGAAAGGTTTCTTGAGAACTTGAGCGAATCAGCATATTAGAATGATCATGTGACAATAATGGCTGCTAAAAATTCAGGTTTTAAAATTACATTTTAAAATATATTAAAATAGAAAATAGTTATTTTAAATTGTAAGAACATTTCACAATATTACGCTGTTTCCTGTTTTTACCTTTAATCAATTAAATGCAGCCTTGTTGAGCATAAGAGACTTTACTTCAAAAACTTAAAAAAACTTTTTAACAGTATTGAATATTTAGTATTTTTTAAAGTATAAATGGGCCTTTTATACATGAAAATATATAGCTGCCTTTATATTGACAATGGCATCCAAAGTTTGAAAACCTTGTACTGTGGTGCTCTGATGTCTGAGGACCTTCATACTGTGTATTTTAGTGGCAGAGCAGCAGAGAAACTCTGGAGTCTAGTGGAGAGAGAGTACTGGAAGCCCTCAGGAAGGGGACAGAAATCTCTGCCAGCCCTGGAGAAACTCTTCCATCCGGCCCAGATGTTGCCAACAGATGTTACCAGCAGCTGGCTCACTCTTATGAGGAAGAATATGGAGGTTTTCGAGAGGCACCGAAGTTTCCTTCACCAGGTAAACAAAACACTGGGATGAATTGAAAGGATACTTATTTATCACTAAAAAAATACTCATTTATCACTAAAGCTTGTACAGTATTTACAGTCTGTCATTAATTTATTATTAGAGCAGAGTCACAAAGAGTGTAAACACAAGATTCTGTTGACCACCTGTCTTAAAAACCGGTCAAATATGCGTCTGCATTAATAATGTGAAATGGCCTTGTGCTTTTCTTTTCTCCAGTGAACCTGATGTTCCTGATGTCATTTTGGGCAGTAAACCGTGCCAGCTCTGAGGGAGCAGAAGCACTGCGAATGGTCCTTCACACTCTCCGAATGATGGCACAAGGGGGCATTCATGACCATGTGGCACAGGTTACATGCAAATACGGTGTATTCAGAACCTGTCTCAACTATAACAGATGTTAAATATCAATTCTTCCCTTTTAATTACATAACCAAACACCATAATCTTCTTTTTTTCAGGGCTTTCACAGATACTCCACAGACTCCTCCTGGCATGTTCCTCACTTTGAAAAGATGTTATATGATCAAGGCCAGCTTGCTGTGACCTATATCACTGCTTACCAGGTATGAATATATTTGTGTGTGTGCATTTGATATATTTTTAATATATGATATATGTTCTGTATATCTTATCTCTCCAGATAATTGCTTATATCCAGAAAGCAGTAATGAAACACTGTGCTGTACTTCTGGAGTTTGTAGACAGAATAAGGACTTTATTGTTGTTAAATATGGCTTATTCTGTGTTTCTGTATCTGTAAAAGTTAAAAAATGAAAATGAACTCACCCTCAGGCCATCCAAGATGTAGATGAGTGTTTTTTTGTGTTAACTTCAAACCATTGCTTCTGGCTAAAATACGAGTCCTTTATCCATAATATTGCTTTCTCCATTGAAAAGTCGTCTCGTCTGAATCAGGAGAGAAATATGCACTGATCATGCACAGTTTACAAGTCCAAAACAGTTCTAGATAAAAATGTGGGTGCATTTTGATGTGAGAGGACAGCAGTGGAACTCTCATTCATACAGCACCCATTTACTGCAGAGGATCCATTGATGATGTAATGTGATGTCCCCCCCCCCCATAAAGAAACAAACTCATTTACATCTTGGGTGACCTGAGAGTTAATTTTCAGCAAATTTTAAGATTTCTATAATGAATCAATTGACATTTTCTAGTTATGTATGGCATTGGCTTGGCTGGTTGTGGTGTTATTATGGCTGTTGATCTCTGCAGGTGTCTGGGGAACGCATTTTTGCAGATGTGGCTCGTGACGTGTTGCTTTACGTCTCCAGAGACCTAAGCGACATGGTGAGTTGTCTCCCCCTCATTAGATCCCGCATTAGGCATCAATCATGCTGAATCAGCACCAACCCACAAATGCACGGAAGAATCGCCCAGGTCAGAGCCCTTTTTGTGGTCAACCCTCCTCCACTATCCAGCACAGGGTGCCAGCCTTCTTGTGATGATGAATGGTTTGATGACAAACACAATTAAAACCCCCTCAAATTTTTTAAATCATATTTTTGAAGATTTATGGAGTAATTAGGTACCAACAATGCTTACCTTGAACCTTATTTATCTATTCTTTTTTTGGTTGTGAGAGATACATTAGAGGTCAGTGTTTTCCTCGACCCAAAATAAACATGTTTGGAAAAAAAAAACATAAAATAGCTGAAAACGTTGCATGCTCTCTGTACTATAAATCATCCCCTTGTTATTATTCTGTAAATGACAACCAGAGGTTCACTGTGTGCTGTAGTTATGTAAGGTAACATGTTTTAACAAGATAACTTGTGGCCAAGAAGTAATGATCCCCTCAAGAAACACAATGTACCTTTCGAAAACAGCCTATAAGTGACAAAAAAAGAAATAAAACACATTTGATTGAGCATTGTGCTGCCCTCTGCAGTCTGGTGGCTTCTATAGCGCTGAGGATGCAGATTCCTTTCCTACGGTGGAATCCATTGAGAAGAGAGAAGGAGCGTTTTGTGTGTGGACAGCAGGAGAGATCAGAGAGCTGCTTCCTGACATTGTGAAAGGTGCCACAGGAGCCATAACACAGGCGAATATCTTCATGCATCATTACGGTGTGAAAGAGCAAGGCAACGTGGACCCCGCTCAGGTTCGGGAATTTGAGGTTTTTATGAGAGCCAGAACATCTCTAACCATGTTAGAAAGATTCTTAGCTACCAAAAAAAAAATATATATGTTTATGTATTTGAAGAATTATTTTGGATTAATTTTCTAAGCATGTTCTTCCATTTCCTTACAAAATGTTTTGCTTTTCCCTTGCTGTAATAAAAAAAATAAGGATATAGAAAAATAATGTGTCAAATAGTTATAAATATTATTTGCAAATTTACAGTTCAACTACTAAAATAATTATTGAAATACTATTACAAAAGAAAAGTTTTGCAAATATCTTTAGCTACACACTGTCAAATGAACAACCAGTCAATAATAATAATGTTTTGCAAACCATAAAACAAATTTCAAACTAGGTTGGTACTGCACTGAAACTTACTTCACTAATGATAAAAAAGTATGTTCTAGTAGAATGAATGTACACAACACATTTAATGTATACAACACCTAATTTGTGAACAAAGCAGATTATTTGTTTTTAATGGCAGGGATTTTTGTTTGCTATGTGCATTTACTGATTTGTTACTAAAACTTGTGCTCTTGGTGTTTTTGTAGGACCCCCATGGAGAGCTCCAGGGTCAAAATGTGCTGATTGTGCGTTACTCCGTGGAGCTCACCGCTGCTCACTTTGGCATCAGCGTGGACAGACTGTCTGAGCTGCTGTCCGATGCCAGAGCCAAGCTGGCCGAGGTACGGAGAGCACGCCCACCTCCTCACCTGGACACCAAAATGCTAGCTTCCTGGAATGGTAAGTTTCCCACATCCTGATTGGAAGAAAGTAAATGTGTCAGCCAGTAATATACTACTGGAAATCCCAGCGCACTGAACCAGGAAAATACTCTAATTAGAGTTAATTGCTTTTCTTAGAGTGTTTTGAAATGGAAACAGTCATCAATTAATCAATGAGAGGCTGAGGCATGAAGAAAAATCACAATGCTTGCATCCCCCAAAGCTATATGTACCCCCTTCCTGTCTTTACAATTTTATTGATTTCATTTTGCAAACAAGGTCCAGTGTTCGACAAGCTCCGTAAATGTTTTTTTTTTTCTCGACTGGGTTTGCCTTAATAGCAGCACTATAATGTTAGAGTTGTTTCATGGGGTGCTTAGATGTGGTGCCAAGCCTTTAAAAACCTACAGAGGGGACCTCTAGGTTGTGGTCTTTGCCCTCGTTGTCTTTAATGAAAGGATATCAAAGCATTCACAGGGTTCCAAGGCCCCTTGGTAGCTCTGGCTGACAAAAGTGCTCAAAGAATAGTGACTAATGAGCTGATATCTTAATTAAAGAGAACATGAGACATTGTTTAATGAAACTTTCCTTCCTGAGCTATGCTCCATTACATTCTTAATTCATACCGACTGGATATTGGTACCTGCAGAGGATCTCTCCGCATTAATCAAACCTGATAGGCCCACTCGCATAGCCGTGAGACATGTCAGGGCTACAGGCACATGGAGCTCTGACAGGACTATTGTTAGTGATCCTCAGCCCTCTGAACACATTAGGTCTTATAGTCTCTTAATGTCTCCTTCAAAACTCCTCTGTCTTGGCTGGCACCTACTGCACCTTTATCAAAACGTTTTTAGCCCTTGTTGGGGGCGAGTTTCATTATCTGAAAGGCAGAACTCTTCCAGAAAGTTTTAAATAAGCAGGTTGTTGAGTTTGATTGCCCAAGTACTTTTGCTGGAGAAACCACAGACAGAAAATGGCTTTGGCATTCCAAGAAACTTGTTTTCTAAATTGAACACGGTCAGGTTTTCCAAAGCTTGTAATCTGTGTCCACTCCCATTTCTTTGGTTGGTCAGGACTGATGCTGTCCGGGTTTGCACGTGTCGGAGCCGTGCTGGGCGACAAGGCTCTGCTGGAAAGAGCTGAGCGAGCAGCTTGTTTTCTCCGAGAACACCTGTGGGACGAAGAGGGCCAGAGGATTCTCCATTCCTGTTACCGTGGAGATAATATGGAGGTGGAGCAAGCGTAAGGAACATTTCTGGCTGTCCCAAAATAAAATGTATTCAGCCTGCAAAAGCACTGAGACTGATATAAGAATAGTTATAGATTGTAAACTGCTAGTTTGTTAGCATCAATCTAATTTCCCAAAATTATGAAAAGAAAAGCCTATTTAAAATAGGAAACTTAATTGGGATGTTAATTTGGCAAGTTTGTCAATGGAGAATATAGAAAGGGTGTTTGGGGATGTTTTTATGTTATTACATATTATTATCACGGATGTTGTTAACTAAAACTATTCAAATCTTACATTTAAATGAAAATTAGAAGTGATGTTTTGGCAACTAACTAAACTAAGTTAAGTTGAAGTTGAAGTTGAAGTACTAAAATTAGTAAAACTACAACTGAAATTAAAAATAAATTAAAATTTGAAATATTTAAAGAATAATAAAAATGACAAGCACATAACAAAATTACTAAAACTGACATTCAAATGAAAACAAAAAATTAATTAACATCTTAATAAATTCTATAATAGTGTAGCGAATCAGCTCATGGGGAAATATGAATAATTAACCATAACTAGTTATAATTAACTTCATATTTTAGATCCACTGTAGATATTTAGCTGACCACTCAGGGTCAACTGTCTTGTCAATTCTAAGACGTTAATTTCCTGGTTAAGGGAAATAACTTTCTTACTGTACAATTCTATAAGCTTGTAACGTAAATCTGCATGTATATAAATAATGCTAAAATAACACACTGATTATGAGGAAGGTGTATGTACTTTTACAGTAGGCCAAGAAAACTAGCACACATTCTTGCTTCCAGGTCTTAATTGCCTGGGCACATATCCTGCCAATGTAGATATTACCCAGAATCAGCACAGTACAAAGCTTTTCAATGAAATCGCCCACAGACACCCACACAAATTCACTGGCCTCATTCTTGGGGTAAACTCTCATTTGTACCTCTCATTAACACACTGTGTCAGCAGCACATCGGTCATCCCACAATGCTGAGTGTGCTTCTCAGGTCACACTGATCATTTTTATAAGTTAACCCACACACCATTTGTAACTGATTTCAAATGGCTGTTTTCAGACCTTTTTCATTGAGTGCTCCACAATGGGATAATAAAGAAGTAGCTTTGTCATTTTGTCACATCGCATAATGCTTAATCAGGAACACTCCCTCTATAATCATCTGATTGGCCTTAATACTTTGAATTTAGCATAGGATGAGATGTTTCTTCTCGTGCAGTTCTGCTCCGTTGTGTTTGCATAAGGGAGCTGAAAAATTCTGCGTCAGTTTGTTTTTAATTTCCTTTGGAGAATTTCCCAGCAAGAAGATGAATTACTGAGGAATTAGTTGTGTTTCTTGCCACCTGATTTCATCCATTCAAGAGGCACTACTGTCTTGCATTGTTCCTCACTTTGAATATTCCTCATTCAAAGAGATAGTTCTCCAAAAATGAAATGGTCATTATTTACTCTCAAGCCGTTTAAGATCCCATCGGAAATTCTGAAAATTGTACTGGTCGCTTTTTTCCATGCAGTTAAAGTGAATGGGGCGGAAGCTTTCAAGCTGCAAGAAAAGACACAAAAGCACCATATGGGGAAGTCGTGGCCTAATGGTTAGAGAGTCGGACTCGTAACCCAAGGTTGCGGGTTCGAGTCTCGTACCGGCAGGGATTGTGGGTGGGGGGAGTGAATGTACAGCGCTCTCTCCCACCTTCAATACCACGGCTGAGGTGACGACTTGACCAAGGCACCGAACCCCCAACTGCTCCCCGTATGTGTGTTCACGGTGTGTGTGTGTTCACTGCTGTGTGTGTGCACTTTGGATGGGATAAATGCAGAGCACTAATTCCGAGTATGGGTCACTTGGCCACATGTCACGTCACTTTCACTTTCATATCGGTATTATAAAGTAGTCCAGTGCAACTAATTTGGTATATTCCAAATCTTCTTCAGGTCTGAATCAGTTTGATTTGTAAATGAATTGTTCAGACTGGTTATGTGAACCAGATGAATGGATTCAACACAAAAGAAGGTTTCATTCACAAATCAGACATCAACTACTGTCATGAAATCTGCCCTAACTTGCCCTGGCTTCTTGTTGAACTCAAGATTTTCAATGAATAATGGTTTAACATTCACTCTGTTTCTCACATAAAGCTATCATATGATGTGGAATATGGTGTGTGAGTCATATGGACCACTTTTATTATACTTTTATGGTGCCTTTTGGAGCTTGAAAGCTTTAGACTCATCGTAATTGCTTGGAAAAGAGCATGGAAAACAGCCTTTGCTTTTGTCTTCTGCGGAAGAAAGAAAGTCATGTGGGTTTGGAACGACATGAAGGTGAGTAAATGATGACAGAATGTTCATTTTGGGGTGAACTAATCCTTTAAAGAGCCCTGTGCAATGCAGTGAAAACATTTAAAGAGAAATCTGGCATGAATGTTTGATGAGAATGAGACGGGTTACCTGACTGTTATACTTCTCAAATGGAATTAAGGGCCTTATATTGTAATTGAAGAAATATGCTATAGTATCTGGGCCAGGTAAAAAATGTAGTGCCAGGTGAATTATTCATGAACCATCCAGTGGCTGTGCTGTTATTCCAAGGAATGTGGCAAATGGTCCAAATCTTGTTCAGCTGTATAAAAATCATACTGCATTGTGAGTAGATCTATCAGTTTGGAACAAGAAGCCTTCTGGCTCCTGAGATAGATAGAGGTTAGGCTCTTTTTTATAGCTTTGGTCTCATGACAGGTTTGTGTGGAAGTTATGATGTGGCTTTGCTGCACTTTAAAGAGACTGTATCACCTGGTGAGAATACAGAGAACGAACAAGGAGGGAATGGAAAAATCCAGGGAGAGCTGTTCATTAAAAATTGACTGGCAGGCTGATTTGTTTGTTGTCTTACAGAGAAGAAACTAAAACAGAGGAGTCATATTTTTCTCTGAACCTATAAACCGAGCTGTGGGTCGAGAATACCTGAGAAGAAACTTACCTCATGGTCCAATAAAGGTCTAGTTAGCATAGACTGTTTAGCCACTACTACTAGATGCCATAACCATAGACTCAGCATTTGCCATTTATATTATAATAGATATTTAATACCAGTGCTCAGCGTTTTTGGATATTTCCATCTGAGTTAGTGTCACTGATATGACGGATTTCTCCAAGTATTGTAGACCTCCTTGGGTTCAACTTTGAAGCACAAATGTTTAGTACCTAGTCACCAGGTTTTTATCCAAATTCACCTGGCACTTATTGTACATGACATTTGAATAGTGCATTAGAGCTGACAGCTTGAGACAATGACATGGTATGGGTCAGATGTTGAGGGCGCTCTGCAAACACTTCATGACATATTTCATCCCTTGGAATGTCTGTTGTTTGAACTAAGAATTATGGAGGTTAAGTTCCTAGCTTTAGACCCGTCTCGTCTGTCCTGCTGCCGACACTGTACTATCTTCAGACCTGTCACTATCTGTTTCCTCACACTCAGCTGGCTACAGTGCCACCTCTATTCAAGGGTCTGAGAACAAGGGATGAAGGGCCTTGATGTGATCTGAATCAAATTTATTTTAAACATCAAAGACTTTTGCAATCTTTTTGGGTGACACCACCTCAAAAGGAATTTCAAATGGCTTTTATACCACAAAGGTCCTGCTAAATGTCTTTGTATGCATTTCAATCAGTGATTTGGTAGGGCATGTCATACTTACTGACTGCTTAACCGTCTGAATCTCACCCTTTTTTTGTCATGCTTACTGATTAAAGAGACAGATCACCCATATATTTTATAATGTATGTAATTCCAAACCTGTTTATTAAACAAAATGTTCAAATTCCTCTTTTTGCATACAGTGTAAGTAGAACATTCGCTTCCACCCCCCCCCCCCCCCCCCCCCCCGCACCCCACCC